AGCCTGGGCAACAGAGCGAGACTGTCTCAAAACATATATATGTAGATACCCACAAAAATATAAAACACCTAGAAGTAAACTTGGTAATAATCATTCAGAACCTACAGGAAAACAATTTTAAAATTCAATAAACAATGTAAACCCTTAAAATAGCCTTTTTTTTTTTTTTTTTTGAGATGGAGTTTCGCTCTTGTTACCCAGGCTGGAGTGCAATGGCACGATCTCGGCTCACCGCAGCCTCCGCCTCCTGGGTTCAGGCAATTCTCCTGTCTCAGCCTCCTGAGTAGCTGGGATTACAGGCACATGCCACCATGCCCAGATAATTTTTTGTATTTTTAGTAGAGACGGGGTTTCACTATGTTGACCGGGATGGTCTCGATCTCTTGACCTCGTGATCCACCCGCCTCGGCCTCCCAAAGTGCTGGGATTACAGGCTTGAGCCACCGCGCCCGGCCAGCCTTTTTTTTTTTTTTATTTTAAAAGCCAACTAAAATGGAATATTGTCTTCATATACATATATATGTCAGAAAACGCTTTATCAAAAAAATAAAAGTAAGAGTCAGATGTGGTGGTGTTCACCTGTAGTCCCAGCTTCTTGGGAGGCTGGGGCGAGAGGATCATGTGAGTCCGGGAGCTTGAGACCAGCCTAGGCAACAAAGCGAGACCCCATCTCTAATTTTAAAAAAAGAAAGGAAGAGGCCGAGCGAGGTGGCTCATGCCTGTAATCTCAGCACTTAAGAGGTCAAGACTGGTGGATCACTAGAGGTCAGGAGTTCAAGACCAGCCTGGCCAAAGTGGTGAAACCTTATCTCTACTAAAAATACAAAAATTAGCTAGGTGGTAGTGGCATGCACCTGTAATCCCAGCTACTCAGGAGGCTGAGGCCAGAGAGTTAACTTGAGCCCGGGAGGCAGAGGTTGTAGTAAGCTGAGATTATGCCACTGCACTTCAGTCTGGGCAACAGAGTGAGACCCTGTCTCAAAAGAGAGAGAGAGAGAGAGAGAGAGAGAAAGATAGGGAGTTTATATAGTGAGATTTTCATATTTCTAAGATGAGATTTGACATAGCTATGCAATTTTACACAGTTGCATACATGTGATCATATACATCTTTTATTTTCTTTCTTTCTTTCTTTCTTTTGAGACGGAGTTTCTCTCTTGTTATCCAGGCTGCAGTGCAATGGCGTGATCTTGGCTCACCGCAACCTTCGCCTCCTGGGTTCTGGCAATTCTCCTGCCTCAGCCTCCTGAGTAGCTGGGATTACAGGCAGACGCCACCATGCCCAGCTAATTTTTTTTTTTGTATTTTTAGTAGAGACGGGGTTTCACCATGTTGACCAGGATGGTCTCGATCTCTTGACCTCGTGATACACCCACCTTGGCCTCCCAAAGTGCTGGGATTACAGGCTTGAGCCACCGCGCCCGGCTATTTTCATTTATTTATTTAGAGATGGAGTCTCGCTCTATTGCCAAGGCTGGAGTGTAGTGGCGCAATCTTGGCTCACTGCAACCTCTGCCTCCTGGGTGATTCAAGTGATTCCCCTGCCTCAGCCTCCAGAGTAGCTGCGTTTACAGGTGTCCGCCACCACACCCGCCTAATTTTTTCGTATCTTTAGTAGAGATGTGATTTCACCATCTTGGCCAGGCTGGTCTAGAACTGCTGACCTCAGCCTCCTAAAGTGCTGGGATTACAAGCGTGAGCCACAGCACCCACCTATTTATTTATTTATTTATTTATTTATTTATAGATGATGTCTTGTTCTGTCACCAGGCTGGAGTGCAGTGGCGCAATCTCAGTTCACCACAACCTCCGCCTCCTGGGTTCAAGCGAATCTCCTGCCTCAGCCTCCTGAGTAGCTGGGATTACAGACATGCACCACTAGTCTGGCTAATTTTGTATTTTTAGTAGAGATGGGGTTTCACCATGTTGGTCAGACTGGTCCCAAACTCCCAACCTCAGGTGATCTGCAGACCTCGGCCTCCCAAAGTGCTGGAATTACAGTGCACCTGATCTTATACATCTTTTAATGTGTTATTTTCCTTTAACATTTTTTCCTTCTCTATTCACATTAGTTCCTCCCACCATGGAATCCATAATATCACTTTAATGTGTTACCTATATTTTTTATGTATTCATTATATATAGATTGATATATACTGATACCTTTAATCACATATACATATACAGGTTTCTTTTTGTCATTATTATTATTATTATTATTATTATTTTTTTTTTGAGACAGAGTTTCTCTTGTTACCCAGGCTGGAGTGCAATGGCTCGATCTCGACTCACCGCAATCTCCACCTCCTGGGTTCAAGCAATTCTCCTGCCTCAGCCTCCTCACTAGCTGGGACTACAGATGTACGCCACCATGCCCAGCTAATTTTTGTATTTTTAGTAGAGACAGGGTTTCACCATGTTGACCAGGATGGTCTTGATCTCTTGACCTCCGCCGGCCTTTGTCATTATTTTTAATAGTCTCTTTAAAAAAGCGGATATTGAGCCGGGCGCCGTGGCTCACTGCCTGTAATCCCAGGACTTTGGGAGGCCGAGGCGGGTGGATCACGAGGTCAAGCGATTGAGACCATGTTGGTCAACATGGTGAAACTTCGTCTCTACTAAAAATACAAAAAATTAGCTGGGCATGGTGGCGTGGGCCTGTAATCCCAGCTACTGAGGAGGCTGAGGCAGGAGAATTGCTTGAACCCAGGAGGCGGAGATTGCAGTGAGCCGAGATTGCGCCACCGCACTCCAGACTGGCGCCTGGCAATGGAGCGAGACTCTGTCTGAAAAAAAAAAAAAAAAAAAAAAAAAAAAAAAGGTGGATATTAAATATTTCTGTATCTCACTTTTTTTCACTCATATACCTAAAAGCCCCTGCAGATCTAATTTAGCGCTTTATTAATTTGTAATTCGTATTTTTTCTTTATTTTTGAAACAGGGTCTCACTCTGTCACCCAGGCTGGAGTACAGTGGCACAATCAGTGCTCACTGCAGCCTTGACCTCCTGGGTTCAAGCAATCCTTCCACTTCAGCCTCCTGAGTAGCTGGGGCTACAGGTGCACTCCACCACACCCTGGCTAATTTTAAAACTGCCAAAGGCCGGGTGCAGTGGCTCAAGCCTGTAATCCCAGCACTTTGGAAGGCCGAGGCGGGTGGATCACGAGGTCAAGAGATCGAGACCATTCTGGTCAACATGGTGAAACCCCGTCTCTACTAAAAATACAAAAAATTATCTGGGCATGGTGGCGCGTGCCTGTAATCCCAGCTACTCAGGAGGCTGAGGCAGGAGAATTGCTTGAACCCAGGAGACGGAGGTTGCGGTGAGCCGAGATCGCGCCATTGCACTCCAGCCTGGGTAACAAGAGCGAAACTCCGTCTCAAAAAAAAAACAAAAAAAACTGCAGAGTCGGGTTCTTGGTTTGTTGCCCAGGCTGGTCTGGAGCTCATGGGCTCAAGAGATCCTCCCTCCCAGGCCTCCCAAAGTGCTGGGATTACAGGTGTGAGCCACTGAGCCTTAGGAATCCAGTGGGAATTCCAGGCCAGGTGGGAGGAAAAGGGTAGTGCATAAGCAGCAAGCAACATTTCTGGCTGGGTCTTGCCCATCCCCTTGTTGGGTGGCCAGGAGCCCTCAGCCCCCAGAGGCAGGAATGCTAACTGTGCTATTGTGAAATCATTTACATATTGTGAAGTGCTTTGCATAAGATGGAGTGCTTTGCATACAGGAGGGAGGCATCTTAGAGGTCCTAGGGCAGGATCCCTGAGTAGCTTTCCTTGCCAAGAAACCAACCCAGGGATTCCATTTTGGAACTCAGGGAGGGAATAGAACGTGCTAGCAGTTGTATGGGCCCAGTGGGGTGAGATGGACAGAAAACTTCAAAAGACAAGCAGGGCCATTAGGGAGGAGCTGGCGGTCTAACGATGGCAGACACTGCAACGTGAGGCGGGACAGGCACCAGAGGCAGCCCTGAGAGCAGACTGTGCCCTTTGAGCCCCAGCAGAGGGGAAAGTGACAGAGCAAATGGATGGAGCTGCCCTGGGATGCTGCTGAGGGTCAGAGACTTAGAGACCCGTACTCGTCGCAATCTCTGCCCAAGTGAGTACCCACATGCCCTTTCCTGAATCTTCTATACTGGTTGATTGGATTCCAAAGAAGAATACGAAGTGGAAACGCCAAGCCACTGCTGTTCAGGATGTTCAGGACCTAGAAGTGAGAATTGGTATCACACACACACTCTGGCTTCAGGACATCTAGGTTTGAATCCTGGCTCTGCCATCCGTGCCACTACGTGACCCTGGGCTAACAGTACCCACCACAGTGGGATAATATGAGGATTCAGTGAGATAATGTGAGTATAGTGAATAGAACATAGTTGTGCTCAGTAAATTGCGGTTATGATAAGAACTGCCAACCAGTGTTTACTGCCCTAGTCTGACCAAAGAGGTCAGGTCTAGCTTCCTCCAGGTGAGGCCAGCACAGAGCCCTGGCCCCCCAGGTTTGGAGTTCCCATCAGCAGGATCCAGCCACCATGCATTGGACTCCAAAGGGTTACAAGCCCTGGAGACAGTGGCCTGAGGTTCCCAGTGAAATACCAAAGCATAAAAATAATTCGATGAGTAAGAATAAAATTCCCTCTTCTGAGGTTCCCGGGCCAGGCCCCTCCCTGCGGCAGGCACTTCCCCTTTCCCATGTTCATGGAGGAGCCAGGCCACGCTGACTCAGAGCAGGAGCTCACAGCACTCCTCCCAGCCCGACCTGGGCATCGCAGTCTGGCGGCCGGGCGCGCCCCCGTGCGGCCACGAGCGGACTGCGGCTCTGGAGGGGAACCGGCGGCCAGACCCACAAGCCCCGCAGCCCGGCGGACCGCGGTCCCCGCAGAGCCGCCGCCTCCGCCCCGCCCCTGCCCAGCCTGGCTGAGCGCGGTGCATGCGGCGCTCCCACTTCCGCCCGGCCCTCCCCGCCGGTCCGCCGCCCGTCCCAAACGGAAGTGCGCCCTCTGCGCGGGTCCCCCAGCGCCGCGAGGCGGAAGCGCCCTCTGCCGCTACTTCCCCCGACCCCGCGGCACGCGGCGCCTCGGGTTCCGGATAGGCCCCGTGTGACGTGGCCGCGCGCCGGGGGCGGCTCCGGGCCGGGGGCCGAGCGGCCGGGCGGCCGGGCGGGGCACAGCCGGGGCGGGGCGCGGCACCGCAGCTGGATGGCCGGGGCCGCCCGGAGCGCCGCCGCCGCCGCACGGTGAGTGCCCGTCGGACCGTCGGGGCTCGCGCCCCGGGCGGGACGGACCCGGCGGATCCCTCGCCCCACCCGACTGGTCCTCATCAGACCTGGGCTGGCTCCCAGGGCCCGGGAGTCAGGCTCGCCTTCCTCGACCTCCTCTCCCGCGTCGTCCCGCGCTCCGCACCCCATCCCTCCCTCGCTGTCCCCTCCGCGTCCCACCTGCCTCTCTCTGGCTCTGTCACTTTCTTCTTTCGCTCTCTTCTTTCCCTTTCCCCTCAGACTCCCCGTGTATTCCCTCTCCCTAGTCTGTGGTCCCTTCAACTCTGCATGAACGCCTCGACCTGGCCCAGCCTTGCTTGTGGTCCCCAGTGGAGGAGCCCCGCTGGCTTCATCAGGGTCCCTGAATAGTTACGGCCTGGAGGTCCTAGACATGGGCATCTCTGCCACCGCCCAGAGGCAGCCGCTTTCTTCCCCTCCCATCTCCATTAGGAGATGAGGAAACTGAGGCAGGGACATCACCAGCTCAAGGTCACAGCCAACCTGAGGCAGGACAAACCGCATTTAAACCTCGTGCCCGGGTTTCCAGATGCAACTTCTCGCTTGGTTGACTCACGTCCACATCCTGTGATCGGCTGGCTGGGCACATTCCTGCTGCAGGGAGCTCCAGAGGCCTCCCCTGGCAAAGGCAGGGACTCCTCATGCTGGGCACATTCACCTGCACTTTCAGTCTCACCTCGTCCTCAGCTGAGGGATGTGATAGTGATCCCTGTCCTGCACAGGAGGGTACTGAGGCTCAGAGGGGGCTGCAGAGATTTGCCCAGAGTCAGACAACTGAAGGTGCAGCGCAGAGTTCAGCACTGGGGCTCTAAAGCCTGAGCTCCGCATGGGAGAGGCATCCCCTTGCTAAAGGCTCCTTTCTCATCAGCCCCACCTCCTGTCCCCTCAGTGCCCCAGGCACACTGGTTTCCTGGTCTTTCCCTGGCTTAGCTGCTCAGCTTCCCCACGTGTCTCTGAATCCCCCTCCCATCCCCTTCCTTAGACTGGGCGCATCAGTCCCTGGGGTGTCGCCTGCTGCAGAACCTTCCCTGGCAGCCAGAGACACCCAGCTGGGTTGGGCCACCGGTGGCTGAGGAGGGCCAGCCAGCGCCTCACCCTGTCATTAGGGAAAGTTTAGCCTCAGGCGGAGGTGCTGACACAGTCTGGAGCTGCTCAGAAGGAAAAAATGTGTGGTGCTGGGGAGTGGGGTGTAGAGCTGCAGGGCCCCACTGCTGTGCACCCAGCTCAGACGCCCTGGCAAGGACAGCAGGAGGGTGGATGCCAGGGTCCCTTGGGGGGAGGAGGGAGGCGCCATGTTTCCTAAGCAGGTGTGTGGCCAAGGCTGGCAGCTTACATAGGTGGCCTTTGTGTTTTTCAGTACGTGGCATGCCTGGATGTCCCTGCCTTGGCTGTGGCATGGTGGGCCCAAGGCTCTTCTTCCTCACCGCCCTTGCGGTGGAACTCCTGGGAAGGGCTGGGGGTTCCCAGCCGGCCCTCCAGAGCCGGGGGACTGCGACGGCCTGTCGCCTGGACAACAAGGAAAGCGAGTCCTGGGGGGCCCTGCTGAGTGGAGAGCGGCTGGACACGTGGATCTGCTCCCTCCTGGGTTCCCTCATGGTGGGGCTCAGTGGGGTCTTCCCATTGCTTGTCATTCCCCTGGAGATGGGGACCATGCTGCGCTCAGAAGGTGAGTGACCCTCCAGTGGCGCCCAGGGTTGGCCAGTGGTGTGGAAAGCACACTGCTGCTCTTCTTAGGATACCCCGGGTCACAGAGTGTCTGAGACGGAGGGAGAGGATAGAAGGGAACTTCTTCCCTTGGTCTTGCCAGGACTTATCTAGCTAGAGGTGGCTGGCTCAGCCTTCCCCAGGAGCTACAAGCACCTGGTAGCAGGGCCTGTCTCTACCTGGGGAGAGGCTCCAGGAGACAGGGATGTGGCCATGGGTGGGAGCTTTGCCCCTACTACCCTTTAATACCACGTGCAGGTACTGCCCATTTACAAATAAATGTTGTAACTAAACACACAGGAGAGCTCCGGGGAGCTGCTAAAAATCATGTGCCTAATCCCCACTCAAGAAGGTTGGACCAGGGCCCTGTGAATCTGTTAGAAACTAGCACCCCAGAGGCTTCTGCTGCCTGCCAGGCTCAGGAACCATTCACTTACCAGATGGTGACCCAGCAGCTCTGTGCCAGGCACTGGGCTGAGGGCTGGCACCACCGCTGTGAACAGAGCCCTCCCAGGGGCCACAATTGGGCCTGTGCTCACCCCTCACAGCAGCCCTGTGAGGTCAGTGCGCGGAGCATGTGGATTATTAGTTCCGTTTTACAAGTGGAGAAGCACAGGCACAGCCCCAGGTCACTCAGCCAGGAAATAGCAGTTTCCCCTGAGATCCTACCACAAATCCAGCTGCTTCTGTCCTCTAGGCCTCTGTTTCTCTATCAAACCAAAGGTTTGGACATGGCTTTCAGGCAGGTGACTTCTAACTCTGGATGCTCCAAGTCCCCAAATCTCTGCCACTTTTCTGAGAGTGACAGCAGCTGAGAGAAATTCCCACTTAATGAGCACTTGCTATATGTTTTGTCATTTAATTCCCGTAAGAGGTCAGGTGCGGTGGCTCACACCTGTAATCCCAACACTTTTGGAGGCCAAGGCGGGTGGATTACCTGAGGTCAGGAGGTCGAGACCAACCTGGCCAATATGGTGAAACCCAGACTCTACCAAAACTACAAAAATTAGCCAGGTGTGGTGGCATGCACCTGTAATCGCAGATACTCAGGAGGCCGAGGCAAGAGAATCCCTTGAACCTGGGAGACAGAGGTTGCAGTGAGCCAAGATTGCACCACTGCACTCTAACCTGGGCAACAGAGTGAGACTGTCTCAAAACAAAACAATACAAAATAATAATTCCCATAAGACCCAACTTACAGATGGAGAAACTGAGTCTCCAAAGTCATCTGCCAAGGTCACAAGCTGGTGGCTTGGGAGCTGGGGCGTGTCAGCTCTTCACCATGACGTGGTGGTATCCCAATGGGCATATGGCAGGGTGTGGTGTTTCTGCTGTGAGGTGGGGCCCCAGGAAGAGCAGCCACCCGTATCCAGCCTCTGCAGGCCCAAGAGCCCAGTGAGTGGGATGGGATGGAGGTTAAGCCAGGAGTTCCGGGTTGGTCCCCCAGACCCCACATCTCTGCCTTGTAGCTGGGGCCTGGCGCCTGAAGCAGCTGCTCAGCTTCGCCCTGGGGGGACTTCTGGGCAATGTGTTTCTGCACCTGCTGCCTGAAGCCTGGGCCTACACATGCAGCACCGGCCCTGGTGAGTGAGGCCACAGGCCAGGGGCAAGATGGCAGCAGGAGTGGGGGCTTGGTGCCCATGCCCAGGGATGGCCAGGAGAGGGATTCTGGGCATCTGACAGGAATTTGCCTGGGATTGGGGGGGTCATCATCCTAGTCTCAGGGCCCTGGCCCCAGTGGGAGTCCTGTGCCCCAGCTGCCCGACCCACCCTTGTCACTGCCCTGGTGCCCTGGACGAGATCCCATTGCAAAGGGCCCCCTCCTATGACCCTGGCTTGGCCTGGGCTGGCATTGCTGCCCCCTGCAGGTGGTGAGGGGCAGAGCCTGCAGCAGCAGCAGCGGCTGGGGCTGTGGGTCATTGCTGGCATCCTGACCTTCCTGGCGTTGGAGAAGATGTTCCTGGACAGCAAAGAGGAGGGGACCAGCCAGGTGAGCGCCACACCCCCGGGCCTGGATATGTCAGCCTCTGTGCTGTGGTGGTGCCTGCGGCCTGGAGGCCCAGGGGGTCTGAGTTGAGCCCTGAAAAGAGGGGTCTTCTGGCCCTCTCCTGGGAGCTACGGGAGGCTGAGCCACCTTCTTTGGGAGTGACAGCATTAGCCCCTGATGTGGCTTGTTCAGGTAGCCTCATGCTGACAGCAGTTGAGGAGAGTTTGTTGAATTTGGGGATACCCAGCTAATGGAGTAGCAGAGAATTTTAGCTAGAAAAAAGAGGGACTTCCTCTCTCTCTCTCTTTTTTTTTTTGAGACGGAGTCTTGTTCTGTCACCAGGCTGGAGTGCAGTGGCATGATCTCAGCTCACTGCAACCTCCGCCTTCAGGGTTCAAGCAATTCTGCCTCAGCCTCCCGAGTAGCTGGGACTACAGGCATGCACAACTGCGCCCAGCTAATTTTTGTATTTTTAGTACAGGCGGGGTTTCACCATGTTGGCCAGGATGGTCTCAGTCTCTTGACCTTGTAATCCACCTGCCTCGGCCTCCCAGTTATTATTATTAGTTTGAGACAGAGCCTCACTCTGTTGCTAGGGCTGGAGTGCAGTGGTGTGATCTCAGCTCACTGCAACCTCCGCCTCCCAGGCCTAAGCGATTCTCCTGCCTCAGCCCCCCGAGTAGCTGGAATTACAGGCGCCCGCCACGCCCTGCTAATCTTTTGTATTTTTAGTAGAGACAGGGTTTCACCATGTTGACCAGGCTGGTCTCAAACTCCTGACCTAATGATTCGCCTGCCTCTGCCTCCCAAAGTGCTGGGATTATAGGCATGAGCCACTGTGCCCGGCCCCCTGTCTCTCTTTCTCCATCTCTCTCTCCCTTCTGTCTGCCCTGGCTGAGTGGGGGGCATCTAACATCACCTCTCCCTCCTTCTCCTGGCCCTAGGCCCCCAGCAAAGACCCCACTGCTGCTGCCGCCACGCTCAATGGAGGCCACTGTCTGGCCCAGCCGGCTGCAGAGCCCGGCCTCGGTGCCGTGGTCCGGAGCATCAAAGTGAGTGGCCTGCTCAGGGCCCCTGCAGCCGCAGCCCTGAGTGGCAGCCCTGCTCAGCCCTGCTTCCTGCCTTCCCTCCCTCCCAGGTCAGCGGCTACCTCAACCTCCTGGCCAACACCATCGACAATTTCACCCATGGGCTGGCTGTGGCTGCCAGCTTCCTTGTGAGCAAGAAGGTGAGTTGGGCTTGGGGCTAGTGGGGCTCTGGCAATTCTGGTGGCACCCATGTGGACTCTGCCTGTGTCTGGAGTCTTTGCTTCTTGCCCCTCCATTGCTAGCGCTCTCATCTAAGGCCCTCATCCCATCCTCCCTGCTGCTGTCCTGGATGCTGCCGTTCTTTGATCCTGAGCCCTTGTTCCCAGCACTCCTTGTTGGGTGCCTCTGTCAAGCTGCTAGGCATGGCCCCTGCCTGCTCCTAGATGCTTCTTCCTCCCTCTGGTCTCTGGCCTCTGGCCCCTGGCCCAGGGGCAGCCTGCTCTGCAGCTGGCCAAGCTCTTTCCCACCTCACGCTGTTCCCCCTGCCTGGAATGTTCTCCCACCCATGCTTTGAGCGGCTGATGACTCATCCTTTGGGCCTCAACTTACATGGACTCCTCCACAAGGCTTTTGCTGACCTCCTCATCTCAATTTGGTCCCTGGGCCTGCTCCGCCAGCACCCTGTCCATCCTCTTCCCAGCGCCTGTGAGTGTGAGTGTCCTGTCTCTCCCTCTAGACCACTGGTTTTGTTAGGGCAGGTTCCTTGTCCCCTTTAGTCACTGCTATATTTCCAGTGGCCAACACAGTGCCCACCCACAGCCAGCTCAGAGCAGAGTAAACCTCTGTGGAATGAGTGGGCGAGTGGGGTGCCCAGCCCTCAGCACAGACCCCGCAGCCACGGCTCCCCTCCCTGCAGATTGGGCTCCTGACGACCATGGCCATCCTCCTGCACGAGATCCCCCACGAGGTGAGCACTTGCAGGGCGCCCTCCGGGGCCAGGCCCTCACAGTCAGCATGGGTGTGGAGCTCGGGAGGGTGGTGGGGTGGGCCTGCCCGGCGTGGCACGCTAGGGCTGGGCTGTGTGGGCCAGAGCTCCTCACCCCAGCAGCCCGCAGCTGCCATCTCTGCCATACTCGAGAAGGGGATCCCAGGGGCAGGCTGGGGAAGGGCAGGGGGCTCAGGGTATATCATGCCTGAGCACTCAGGGCATCGGGCCCCACTGGGGTACAAGGTGAACATCCAGACCTCCTTTCAGGTGGGCGATTTTGCCATCCTGCTCCGGGCTGGCTTTGACCGATGGAGCGCAGCCAAGCTGCAACTGTCGACGGCACTGGGGGGCTTGCTGGGCGCCGGCTTTGCCATCTGTACCCAGTCCCCCAAGGGAGTAGGTACGGGCATGGTGGGTGGTGGTAGCAGGTGGCGTCAGCAGAGTTGTGCCAGCCAAAGAGTGTGGCTACCTCACTGCTGGTCCCCAGGCCTAGGAGGTGGGAAGCACACGTGGCGCCCCGGGTGCCCAGCTGGGTGTTCTTTGCTGCAGAGGAGACGGCGGCCTGGGTCCTGCCCTTCACCTCTGGTGGCTTTCTATACATTGCCTTGGTGAATGTGCTGCCTGACCTCTTGGAGGAAGAGGACCCGTGGTGAGTGACCTCTTGGAGGAAGAGAACTGCCACTCACAGGGCCCTTAGGGGCCCAGGAGGGAGGGGCTCCTGGCCACTGCCCCCTCCCCCTCTCCATGCCTCCACCATGGGCCCCATTCCCTCCCTACAGGCGCTCCCTGCAGCAGCTGCTTCTGCTCTGCGCGGGCATCATGGTGATGGTGCTATTTTCGCTCTTCGTGGATTAACCATCCCTGACGCCCCTGCCCCCTGCAGCAATAAGATGCTCGGATTCACTCTGTGACCGCATATGTGAGAGGCAGAGAGGGCGAGTCCCTGTGAGAGAGAATGAGCCTCCCACCAGGCAGGAGGGAGGTGTGCGTGGATGTGTGTGGTGTGCACATGTGGCCAGAGGCGTGTGCGAGACCGACACTGTGATCCCCGTGCCGGGCCCGGGGCCCAGTGTAGCGCCCGTTCTTCACCTCTTCTTTGCCACCGTCATATTGCACCTCCTGGAGTGAACAGTGAGGGTCCTCACCCTGTCAGGACCCCAGGAGCAAGAGCAGCCCCAGGATCCCCGGGTGCAGGGAACTCCAGACCTGGCCTGCCTTCTGCTGCCCCTCTGCACACGAAGCCAGGTGCCTAGGGGCCAAGGCTGGGGCAGCTTAGTTCCCCTTTCCTGGCCCGCCCTTCCCCACCTCTAAGCCAAAGAAAGGAGAGGCAGGTGCTCCCATACCCCCAGCCCCACTCAGCACTGACAGTCCCCAGCTCCTAGTAGTGGGGCTTCCAGAAGCCGCTTCCCAAGACCCTTTCCTCAGGGCTGCCCGCCCTGGGAGCTCATTCCCGGCGAAGAATGAGCCCTGGCAGCACCGGCAGCTCTTGCCACCTCCAGCTGCCAAATAGCAGACTGCCAGGCAGGGAGCAGCCCCAAGCCAGAGAGGCCTCCCGGGCCAGCTCAGGGACACTCCTGCCAGCACAGGGGCCAGGGACTCTTGGAGCAGGCACAGCGTGAGCCTGGGCTGCCCTCCCCAACTCGGGCCCCTTTCCTTCTTCACTGGGGTTGGGGTAGGTGGGGGCAGCGAGGGCTCCGCGCATTGTCAGCGCTTAGGAATGTGCTCTGGGAGAGTGCTGAAGCCATAATCCCCAGCCATTTCCCTTGGCTGACGCCCAGGTACTCAGCTGGCCCACTCCACAGCCAGGCTTGGCCCTGTCCTTGACCGTGGATGTTTTCAGAAGTGGCCATTGAGAGGTCTGGATGGTTTTATAGCAACTTTGCTGTGATTCCGTTTGTATCTGTAAATATTTGTTCTATAGATAAGATACAAATAAATATATCTACACATTTATTGTGTGGGTTCTGCCTCAGTTTTGTACGGCCTTCCATGGCCAGGCAGGGCCTTCCTCACTGCCACAGCCAGGCCCTTGTCTGAACTGTCACCCCTGCAGCATGTCTTCCTAGTTTGTTAACTTTTTGCCCCAATAATGACTGAGCACCTATAGGATCCTGGCCCTATGCCATTTTAGCCCCTCACCACCACCAACTCCAGGACGCTGTCCTTATTTTTATTTTTTGAGATGTAGTCTTGCTCTGTCGCCCAGGCTGGAGTGCAGTGGCGTGATCTCAGCTCACTGCAACTTTCGCCTCCTGGGTTCAAGCAATTTTCCTGCCTCATCCTCCTGAGTAGCTGGGATTAGAAGTATGTGCCACCACGCCCGGCTAATGTTTTTTGTATTTTTAGTAGAGGGGGTTTCACTATATTGGCCAGGCTGGTCTCAAAACTCCTGACCTTGTGATCCACCCACTTCGGCTTCCCAAAGTTCTGGGATTACAGGTGTGAGCCACCGTGCCCAGTCAGGACGCTGTCCTTATTTTCTAGACCTGCAAGTGGGGTGTTTTCCCTGCCTGCCCCCAGCACCCCCTCAACTGAAAATGTAATCAGGGAAGGGAGCTCCGGCCACAAAGTGCCTCAGTAAAATTAAGCTCTCATTGATGTAAAAAAGACAGGCCAGGCTTGCGCCTATAATAATCCCAGAACTTTGGGAGGCCGAGTGGGGTGGATAACAAGGTTAGGAGTTCAAGACTAGCCTGGCCAACATAGTGAAACCCTGTTTCTAGTAAACATACAAAAATTAGCCAGACACAGTGGTGGGTACCTGCAATCCCAGCTACTCAGGAGGCTGAGGCAGGAGAATTGCTTGAACCTGGGAGGCGGAGGTTGCAGTGAGACAAGATCGTACCATTGCACTCCAGCCTGGGTGACAGAGCAAGACTCTGTCTTGGAAAAATAAAAAAAAGAAAAGAGGAGAATATAAGACCCTTATTCAAAACTACACGCCCTCCCTTCTGAATGTGTGGAGTCTAAGAACACCAGGTGCGGGGCGACGCTTCCCCAGTGCTGTCAGAATATGGGTGCGGGTGTCCAGTCCTCTTTCCTCCCAGGCCAGCCAGGACCACCGTCAATAGCCCGCTGGCCAGAATCTGCAGTCTGGGCAGTGTCATGGACCAGAGGTGGGTGTGAAACCCCAGTGACATCCTTAGCTGGGAGTGCTTTGGCTTTTTTTTTTTTTTTTTTGAGACTGGAGTTTCGCTCTTGTTACCCAGGCTGGAGTGCAATGGCGCAATCTCGGCTCACCGCAACCTCCACCGCCTGGGTTCAGGCAATTCTCCTGCCTCAGCCTCCTAAGTAGCTCAGGATTACAGGCATGTGCCACCATGCCCAGCTACTTTTTTTTGTATTTTTAGTAGAGACAGGGTTTCACCATATTGACCAGGACGGTCTCGATCTCTTGACCTCGTGATCCACCTGCCTTGGCCTCCCAAAGGGCTGGGATTACAGGCTTGAGCCACTGCGCCCGGCCGGCTTTCTGTATTTTTATCAGCAAAAAAAAAAATGAGGATATAGTATTTGCTTTGTCTAGCTGTAACACATCCCATAAGTGTCTCAAGGACCGAATGACTCCTGGCCTCAGATCCAAGGAATGAACCGTGGCTGTCCCCACCAGCCATCCCCTCACCTCCAGAGGTGCTTGGGGCTGCTAGCTGTGTGTGAGCATCACAGCCCACTAGGAGAGGCCAGAGGTCCCATTTTAGAGCTGAGGAAGCCAAAGCAGGTGAGGGTGGTGCCTGTGGGGAACATGGGTGTCATGGTCAGGAGCAAATGCCTATCTGGTTAGAAGAGGGAACAGGAATACAGGACTGGGGCAGCTGAGTCCAGGGCAGGGGACAGGACCAGAAGCACTTCGGGGGCCATGCTGCTGGACTCCTGAGGCAGGGGCCAGGGAGTCAGAAGGAAGCCAGGCAGGGGCACCCAGGGAAAGCAAGACTAGCAGGGAGGGTGTCAGAGCCAGGAAGGAGCTGGCCCTGCAGGCGGAGGCCAGTCGGCAGCCTGCTGTGCTTAGGTGCATTTGGGGGGTGAAAAGAAGGGGAAAAGGAAGGAAGAGGTGGGCAGGGGCTTTTGCAGGGGGCAGGAGGGAGCTGACACAGCTCTGACGGGTTACCATTTCAAAGGCTGATCAGGAGGCCACCAAAGCCACCAGGAGACAGCTTCGTGGAAAGGAGACTGGCTTCATTCGCTGCCCTGGGCCTGACTCCCAGCTGGGCCACCTAACAGCTGCGTGATCATGGCCCAGTTGCTTACACGAGTCTGTAAGATGAGGAAACCCTCCTGGTGTTTATCCTGATAACCAGATAAAACTATGCGTGAGGACCTGTGTGGCACCCTCAGTGAATGGCGACCACCCTAGCTGGGCATGAGGTCGGGGGCTGGCAGGTTGGAAGGGCACAGGAAAGCCCCACAAAACATTTGTGACAGCATGTGGGGCCAGCTGTCACAAATGCTTTATGGGGTGAAGAGACGGCAGAATTGGGGAGCGGGCACAGTGTGACAGATCAGTCCTAGAGGAGCTCCAAGTGGATCTTGTTCAGGCAGTTTTTGGCCAAAAGACAGGGACAGAAAGAGCTAAGGGGGCATCTGGAGAAATGAGGGGCCCAAGACCAGGAATCAAGGTTGGGGGCTGAAGGCCTAAACCCAAGCCTGGCTTTACCAGGAGGTAAGGACGCGTGCCAGACACCAAAATGCCGAAAGGGAAAAGGCATCTATCCAGGTCCTCTGTGCAGGAACTGCGGGGACATGAGCTTCTGAGAGCTCCGAGGGGAGTGGTGCACAGGGAGGTGGCTCTGCGGGGCCTGAAGGCCCAGGCAGCAGCTGCAGCACCACGCACGGCCCCAGAAGGCCTCAGCCTGACCAGTGGTGTGGGCCCATGGCTGTGGCAGGGTTTCCAGCCGGCAGCACCTGGGGCAGCGGCCTCCTGCACATGCCCCCACTCCTCCACCCAGAGCCCAGGGAAGGCAGACAAGCAGCGGCAGGGACCTGAAACCATCTTTTATTGCGCACTTCAGCTGCGAGCCCGGGGCAGGCCTGTGCACCCTAGGCGTAGTACTGCAGGTTGGCTTTCTTCTTGGCCTGCACCTCCAGGATGCCTTCCATGTAGTCCTCGTGGGTGAGCTCCGTGGCACCCCTGCGCAGCGCAATCATGCCCTGCAGCCGGGACAGACAGAGTCTAGGGGCCTCCCCAAACGCCTACCCTGGCTCCCTGAGGCCCAGGCCTCTTCCCCCAGCAGTCTCTACCAGCCAAATACCCGCTTCCTGTCCAGGGAGGGGGCAAGAAGGCATGAAGTGACTCACCCCCCACCTGACCACTCACCGCCTCCACACACACAGCCTTGCACTGGGCCCCGTTGAAGTCATCCGTGCAGCGGGCCAGCTCCTCGTAGTTCACGTCAGGACTGGGAAGAGGACACATACTGCAGGCTCAGTGGCTTATGGGGAGCAGGCAGAGGGGGCAAATGTCCCCCCCTGGTCCCATCAAGCAACAAAGTCAAGTCGCCCTATGACCGGAAGAAAGTCCCTTACCCACTGCACCTTGTCTTCTCAGTATCAGATGTAGGGGACGAAGGGGGCAAGTTAATGCAGGTTATACCAGGTTATTTCTAGGGTCTCTTGAGCTCTGGCCTTCTAGAAATCTGCATCTGAGACTCCATGGACTGACTCGGCACAAGGCAGGGGAGCAGGAGGATGTGAGGACAAAAGATAGTATCTATTCTCCCCCCGCTGAGCAGGCCCTGCTCTCGTCCTGTGCTTAACACTGTCACATCTAATCCTTACCACGACCCTGTGAAATTGGTGCTGTCATCTCCAAGTCCCAAGTAAGAAAAGTGGGGCTGAGAGAGGGCATGCCACCTGCTGAGAGTCACACAGATTTGAACTCAGGTCCACCTGGCCCTGGCCATTCCTGGTCTGTGCTCATGTGCTGAGGTATGAGGCAGGGAAACGGAGGGTCTCCAGCCTCTGTTCCTTCGGATGAGGGGTGCAGTCTAAGGAGCAGAGCACCCAGAATTACAGCCTGGGCCCTGGCAAGACACTGCATCAGACAACTGGGGAGAAACAGGCTGGCATGTGGATCGGTGCCATGTGCGCCTGGGGCCAGAGAGGTGGTGGTCGTGGAAGCTGGGGAAGCTCAGCACAGAGACACCCTCCTGTGCCTGTGCAGGTCTCTGTGCCCTGCCCATGCCCCTGCTCACCTGACATTCATCTTTCGGGAATGGATCTGCATGATTCTGGCCCGGGCCTCTTCATTGGGCATTGGGAACTCAATCTTTCGGTCCAGGCGACCTGAGCGGAGCAGGGCAGGGTCCAGAATGTCCACCCTGTTCGTGGCTGCAATTACCTGAGGAAGAGGAGAAGCCACAACTTGAAAAAAGAAAGGTGTTCACAGATGGGCAGACACAGTCACAACAGGCCGAGAGGCAGCCTGGGGAGCAGGTGAGACCCATGGGATGTTCAAGACAGATCCCAATTCTCATTCTAGCTTCACCACTCTCGAGCTGGGGGCCTGGCAGCTCCTGACCACTGAGCCTCTTCTTCACCTGGGAGTGCTAATACTCACCTTAACTTGGGTGTTGGGCTGGAAGCCATCCAGCTGGTTCAGAAGCTCCAGCATCGTCCTCTGCACCTCCCGGTCCCCAGCCTTCTCGCTGTCAAAACTAGGGCACAGGAAGCCCGAGACACCGGTGAGGGCAACAGCTTGGGCAGAGCCCTCCCTTCCCTTACCCCCTGGAAGCCTCACCTAACTCATCCAGGGCTGCGAAATGGCTCACTCAACTTGGAGCCCCCAGCCCAGGGACTGGCACATAAAAGGTGTCATTAATTGTTGACCATATTGAGCTAAAGAGACTCCTAGGATCAGGTGCTGGGCTGAGGATAAAACAGTGAGCAAGGCTGGGCACGGTGGCTCACACTGTAATTCCAGTACTCTGGGGAGGCTGAGGCGGGCGGATCACCTGAGGTCGGGAGTTCAAGACCAACTTGGTCACCATGGCAAAACCCCATCTCTACTAAAAATGTAACAGTTAGCTGGGTGTGGTGGCAGACACCTGTATTCCCAGCTACTTGAGAATTGATTGAATCCAGGAAGTGGAAGTTGCAGTGAGCCGAGATTGCGCCACTGCACTCCAGCCTAGGCTGGATGACAGAGCAAGACTTACTTCATCTCCAAACAAAACAAACAAACAAACAAAAACAAAAAACAAAAACCAGGCCGGGCAAGGTGGCTCATGCCTGTAATCCCAGCACTTTGGGAGGCCAAGACGGGCAGATCACCTGAGGTCGGGAATTCAGACTAGACTGATCAACATGGAGAAACCCTGTCTCTCTAAAAATACAAAATTAGCTGGACATGGTGGCACATGCCTGTAATCCCAGCTACACAGAAGGCTGAGGCAGGAGAATCGCTTGAACCTGGGAGGCGGAGGCTGTGGTGAGCCAAGATTGAGCCATTGTACCCCAGGCTGGGCGATAAGTGCAAAACTGTCTCAAAAACACAAACAAAAAACCCCAGCAAAACCAGCCACTGCTTGGGCTGTTACCCTGATGAATGTGCAGCTGCAAACTGAGCTAAAGCTTAGAAATACAGGGATCTGGCCCAGGCTTGGACGGTACTATATGGGAGAGCCCAGGCAGGCATCCCTGAGTGTCCCTGAGGCCGAGATCTGAAGGTGGAAAGCACACTGGCCGGGCAGCCAACCAGTGGAAGAAAGGGCAAGAGCCACAGCAGGCTTGAAGTGCGGGGGACACCTTGGCAGGAGTCCAGAGCAGGGGAGGTGGGAGACAGGCACAAGTTGAGGCTGAAGGCGCAAAAGGGTTGAGCCCTGCAGGCCACATCAAGTCCAGCATTTATCACAGGAAGGGGTTTTTTTTTTTTTTTTTAGACACTCTTACTCTGTCACCCAGGCTGGAGTGCAGTGGCACAATCTCGGCTCACTGCAACCTCTACCTCCAGGGTTCAAGAGATTCTCCTGCCTTAGCCTCCCCAGTAGCTGGGACTACAGGCATACGCTACGACGCCTGGCTAATTTTTATATTTTTAGTAGAGATGGGATTTCATCACGTTGGCCAGGCTGGCCTTGAACTCCTGACCTCAAGTGATCCACCCACCTCAGCCTCCCAAAGTGCTGGGATTACAGGTGTGAGCCACGATGCCAAGCCAGAAAGGGTTTTCAACAGGATGGGTTTGGCAGGGACTACTTTGGGTTCATGCAAGCAAGGTGGCCAGATTCCTGCTGTGGCTTTTTTTCTTTTTTTGAGATGGAGTCTCGCTCTGTCACCAGGCTGGAACACAGCTCACTGCAAGTTCTGCGTCCCAGGTTGAAGCAATTCTCGTGCCTCAGCATCCTGGGCAGCTGGGACTACAGGTGCACGCCACCACTCCTGGCTAATTTTTTTGTATTTTTAGTAGAGATGAGGTTTTGCCATGTTGGCCAAGCTGGTCTTGTACTCCTGGTCTCAAGTGATCTGCCTGCCTCAGCCTCCCAAAGTGCTGGGATTACAGGCATTCCTTCTTCTTTTTTTGAGAAAGGGTTTCATTTTGTCACTCAGGTTGGAGTGGAGTGGCGCCATCACAGCTCACTACAGCCATAACCTGCCAGCCTCAAGCAATCCTCACACCTCAGCCTCCTGAGTAGCTGGGATTACAGGTGTGCACCACCATGCCTGACTAATATTTTTATTTTTTATGAAGACAGGGTCTCCCTATGTTGTCCAGACTGGTCTCCAACTCCTGGGCTCAAGTGATCCTCCCATCTTGGCCTCCCAAAATGGTGGGATTACAGGCATGAGCCACCACCCAGATTCCTGTTTTGAAAGGAACACGCTGGCAACTGTGAGAATGAATGGCTGGGGAAACAGGGAGGCCGGGGATGAGGAGTTAGGAATCTGAACCACAAGAGCTGAAGAGCAGTGCCACTGTCCAGGGGCAGGAAGGGGTACAGGGTGGGAAAAAAACAGAATTTAGCACAACTGACAGTCGGCCTCCCTTCCTCCCACTGCCACAGAGATCACTGGGGACGCTTGCCTCTCCCTTACCGCTTGGTGCCGATGGCATCCAGCTCATCAATGAAGATGATAGATGGCGCTTTCTCCTTGGCCAGGGCGAAGGCGTCCCGGACTAGCTTGGCACCATCTCCAATGAACATCTGTACCAGCTGCGGGCCAGCCAGCTTTAGGAAGGTGGCCTGGCAGGGAAAAGGTGGTAGGATCAGATCAAAGGCAGACCCTTTGAGCTTATCTGGTAGTTTCTGTTCCTGCACACTCTCCCCGCATCCCTCCCAAAGCGCTCACCTTAGTCTGTGCAGCACAGGCCCGGGCCAGAAGGGTCTTCCCCGTCCCTGGGGGTCCATACATCAGCACCCCTTTTGGAGGCTGGATCCCCAAGTTCTCAAACTTCTCCTTGTGGTTCATTGGCAAGACAATGGCCTCCACTAGCTGCCAGGAAGTCGTGGTGAGGAGATGAAGCCCTGAGGGTCCTATAGCCCAACCCTTCCCGGCTCCAACCCCAATCTATCTCTCTCCTGTCTAACTCAGGGACACACCCACTCCCTTCCCCAGATCAAGAGGACACAGAATGCTCATCCCCACCAAGGCTGGCTATGGCCTCTCCAGGAACAGGAGTACATGGCAGAAAGACACTAGGCCAGGGGCCGGGTACAGTGGCTTATGCCTGTAATCCCAGCACTTTGGGAGGCCGAGGCAGGTGGATCACCTGAGATTAGGAATGCAAGACGAGCCTGACCAACACGGAGAAACCTCATCTCTACTAAAATTACAAAATAAGCCGGGTGTAGTGGTGCATGCCTGTAATTCCAACTACCCGGGGGACTGAGGCAGGAAAATCGCTTGAACCCTGGAGGCAGAGGTTGCGGTGAGCCATGATCGCGTCATTGCACTCCAGCTTGGGCAACAAGAGTGAAACTCCATCTCAACAAAGAAAAAAGACACTAGGCCAGGAACCAGGAGACTGAGCTCTAGTCCTGGCTCTGGCACTCTGTGACCCAGGGCAAGGCATTTAAACTCTCTGGGCTCCAGTCTCCTCACCTGTCACATGGCACCCCCCTCCCTTCCTTCCTAGGATGCCACGAGGATAACAGACACATTAGGGAGATGAGCTGCATCAATGGCATGGAGAAACTGAATGGCTGGTGAGGCTGCTGGCAGCTGCTATGCCTCCCTCACCTCCTGGATCTGCTTGTCCAAGCCCCCGATGTCACTGTATTGCTCCGTGGGCCTCTCATCCACCTCCATGGCCTTCACCCTGGAGTCGTACTCTGTGGGCAGCGTCTCCAGGATCAGATAAGAATCTTTGTTCACACCCTGAAGACACAGCACAGGGCCTTTAGATTTGGCCCAGCTCAAGGCCTACCCAACTGACTGAGTGACAGGTGTCTGCAGAAGGAAAGGCAGAGGACTGGACAATAGAAAAATCAAACAGCAAATAGACAGGATTCCAGACTCTCCAAGCTGTTCTGCTGAGATTCAGAGTCAAGAGTGAATTTGACTGGGGCGGGGGAGGGGGCTCAGCTAGTCACCAGAAAAGCATTGCCTGGGCTCAGGCCCCACTCACCACCAGGTCTCCTGGCTTTAGCTTTTCAGCATCCACCAACCCAATCACAGGCAGGAAGTATGTCTGTGGGCAAGTTACATGGGCAGTCTCGGTCAGTGTCCTCAGGGAAGGCTCCCTAGTCCTATCCCACAGCCACCCCTCACCCTCCTCCAGTCTGTCCTATAGCTGAGCCACACTCACCTGTCGGGTAGAGGTTTTGATCACAGCACACTTGCCCTTCCTCTGGGAATCCAGGTCAATGTTGGCACCATCCTCCTCTTGGTCATTGGGATCAACGTCCAGGAGCTGGGAAGGAAAAAAGCTCAACCCCTTGAACTGCCCAAGGCCCAGTGCTTTCTAAGACAGTTCCTAATACCTGCAGGGCTGGCCATCCCCATCTCCCTCCTCCAATAGCCCTGAGCCCAGCAAAGGTGGGTGCCTCTGCTAAGCCCAGGGATTGATCTCTGTGTAGGTGCTGCTCCTCTGCACAGGGCACATCTACCCTGGAGGAGACACAACCAATAGAAAAGGAGACACTGAGCCGGGCGCAGTGGCTCAAGCCTGTAATCCCAGCACTTTGGGAGGCCGAAGGCGGGTGGATCACGAGGTCAAGAGATCGAGACCATCCTGGTCAACCTGGTGAAACCCCGTCTCTACTAAAGATACAAAAAATTAGCTGGGCATGGTGGCACGTGCCTGTAATCCCAGCTACTCAGGAGGCTGAGGCAGGAGAATTGCCTGAACCCAGGAGGTGGAGGTTGCGGTGAGCCGAGATGGCGCCATTGCACTCCAGCCTGGGTAACAAGAGCGAAACTCCGTCTCGAAAAGGAGACACTGAGACTCCCAAGGCCTTTGCAGGCCCCCATCTCCCCATCAAAGTGCCCCCAGAGGTGTAGCTCTGACATTCAGTTTAGCCTCAAAAACTCCACCCACTCTTTCCCTAGCAGCCCCAACCCAGGCTGTCCCCGATCCCCGCTGACTCCCTCTGTTCCCCTCCACATACACACACACCTCGATGACGTTGGAGACAAGGTATGGTAGGGTCTTGTTCACTTTGATTTTCTCACTGTTCTCTTTGATCTTGTCCTTCATGGCTTGGAGCTCATGGGTGACTCTCAACACTTCACTCTTCATGATCTGGGATGAGGAGGGGAAGAGGAGCAAATGTAAGCCCTGGCACAGCTTATACTAGAATCCTGTAACTGGTGAGGTCCCGGGTGCCCAGGGGACTCTCTGGCATCCATTCATCCAGCTCTGAGGCTCTCTGAAGGCAGAGTGTGACTGTGTCCACATCCTGCAGAAGTCAAAACAGGAGGCCAGTGTGGAAACAACCTGGTAAAACAGTGGTAGTACTTACTGGAATAAAAGCAGACCTCCAAGACAGGCAAATATAGGTTTTAGGTTCTGCCTCTTAGTCAGAACTGGGTGTGCCGGTTGCAGCGGCTCACGCCTGTAATCCCAACACTTTGGGAGGCCAAGGCAGGTGGATCATCTGAGGTCGGGAGTTCGAGACCACCCTGACCAACATGGAGAAACCCTGTCTCTACTAAAAATACAAACTTAGCTAGGCATGGTAATGCTGCATACCTGTAATTCCAGCTACGGGGGAGGCTGACACAGGAGAATCGCTTGAACAGGGAGGCAGAGGTTGTGATGAGCCTAGATCGCCCCACTGCGCTCCAGCCTGGAGACAAGAGTGAGACTCCGTCTCAGAAAAAAAGAAAAAAAAAAAAAAAAAAAAAAAAAAGAACTGGGTGCTTTACCGCAGTACAAACCTCTCTGAGCCTCAGTTTCCTCATCTGTAAAGTGGGGCTTTTACTAAAAGAAGGATTCTTGAGAGGATTATTCCTAGTCCTCACTGGGAAAAGCAATCTTATAACTTCTCGTCTCAGTCCACGTTTCCCACCACCTCCGCCTGTCTTCCTGTCCCTTATAAGGCTGTTTTCTTTCCTCTTTTCCTGCTCCAAGGAGGAAGCCCAGAGCCCCATGTCTCCCCCAGGGTGGCGGAGAAGGAAGTAGGAGAGGCTACTCGCATCGCCCGGGCTTGTCCTGTGAGGTCTCCATCGCCCGCACAGGAGCTGTGCACCCACCTTGATCTCACTGTCCAGCAGCCGTGTGCGCTGGATGATCTCCTCCGTGGACATCTTGAGCACCTCCTCCCCAATTCCATCTTGCTGTAAAAAGAATTATTTATTTATATATTTAGTTGAACTCAGGACAAGCATCCCACGTTCTCCGAACCCACCCATAGCCTCAGTTTGCACGCCCATAAAACCAGGACGAAGAGTCAGGACCCCTGCCCACATCCCAAACAACCCCATCCCCGGGACCTGGCCAGACCCTGACCCTCCGCCACCTCCTTCCCTCCTGCCAAAGGCGTCTCCCCGCGGGCCCCGGTTCTGGGACCGCCAACTCGCCCAGTGCCCACCTCGGCCTCATCCCACACAGTCGCCATCTTCTCCTGCCGAGTCACTGGACTCTCGAGATTCGGCAGCAGATTCATTTCCTGGAGGAGCAAGTTGAAGATGGGGCCTGGCCGGAGCCGCAACGGAAATTAATGCCGTCTTTCTTAAGGCCTTCTCTTGACCAGTGGAGAACCTCTCCCCGCAAATCCTGACTCTTGAGGGGATTAGCTCCGGCCGCGCTGTGTGCGGCGAATCTGCCTCTCTGACTCCAAAGACCAACCCCTGGCCACAGGCCCCGCCTCCGCAGCCCCTGAAACGTTCCCGCCCGCGTCCTTTTTTAGCTGGGCGCCTGAGATAGTGCCACTATTGGCCGATGTGCGCGTTGGGGGCGGAGCCTGGGTGTAAAATCGGAAAGGGAGGGAGAAGGGTGGGATCCGCGAGGGCCTTTGGGAAATGTAGTTTTTAATCTGGCCCGTGACAGATGCTTGCGGAGGGGCGCATTCAAACTGAACCGGATAGAAATACAGGGATTTACACAATGACACTGCCTCCCAATTCGTAAACGACATAAGCCAGCCACGTGCAAAGGGCCAAAAAGGCATGCTACCTCAGGCCGCATTTTTACAATTATTTAAGTACAAGCTGGAGGGAGTTGGGAGAGGAATCATTAACCAGCTTTAAAGAGAAATCGCTGCTGCTCCTAATGTCAGAGAAGGCTTCACGGAATTGTCCACGTGGTAAGAACTCAATTGACCATCAGGCTCTACGATTAAAAACATTATGACTCATGTCTGCAATCGTTTGTTTTCTCTGCCCATGGTTCGTTATCTCAGTGAGCAGAGGCCGGTCTCCGGATCACTGGGGACTCATTCGCTGTACCTTTGTCTGCTATTTTATTTTTGTTTGTTTGTTTGTTTTCTTTTTTTTTTTTTTTAAAGAGACCGGGGTCTCGGTATGTTGCCCAGGCTGGAGGGCGGTGGCTATTCACAGGCGCGATCCCACTACTGATCAGCACGGGAGTTTTTACCTGCTCCGTTTTCGCCCTCCTTAGGCAACCTGGTAGTCCCCCGCTCCCGGAAGGTCACCATATTGATGCCGAACTTAGTGCGGACACCCCATCGGCATAGCGCACTACAGCCCAGAACTCCTGGGCTCAAGCGATCCCCCCACCTCAGCCTCCCGAGTAGCTGGGACTACAGGCAGGCGCCACCGCGCCCGGCTGTCTGCTGCTCTAAATGATCTCTCCTCATCCTCTGAGGTGAGCCCCAGAGCCCCTTAAAGGGGACTTCATGTAAGCCACATAGCTTATATTTCAAGTGAAACCATCACAAACACCCTCTAAACTTGATGAAAATCTGTCGTCTTTTTGTTTGTTTTTTTGAGATGGAGTCTCGGAGTCTTGCTCTGTTGCCCAGGCTGGAGTGCAGTGGTGTGATCTCTGCTTACCACAACCTCCGCCTCCTGGGTTCAGTGGATTCTCCTGCCTCAGCCTCCCGAGTAGCTGGGATTACAGGTGCCCACCACCACGCCCAGCTAATTTTTGTATTTTTAGTTGAGACTGGTTTTACCATGTTGGCCAGGATGGTCTCGATTTCCTGACCTCAAGATCTGCCCAGCTTAGCCTCCCAAAATGCTAGGATTACAGGAGTGAGCCACTGTGCCTAGCCTGCAGCGTTGTTGTTTTTTTTTTTTTTTCGGAACACAGTTGAAAGCAGAATTTTTCTTTAAATAACAACATGTACAGCTGCTCACTCAGGCTGACAAAGCATGTCCACACGTAGCAGCGTTTTATTCCATTCTCTCAACAAGCCTGCACTATGGACAGATTGAATTACCACCCTCAACTTTAAATAAGCATAGGGAGGCTCAGAGAGGTTAAGTGACTTGCTGGAGGTCACTCAGTGAGTCACTGTCAGCACTGGGACTGCTGATACCAAATTCTCACTTTGAGTTGCCCCATAGGAGCCAAGAAGCCCAGAAGGGGAAGAGACTGTCCTGTCTGTTCTGGTCCCATCTCGCCTGGGATGGGTGGGTCCCATTCTGGGGCCTACATTTGGAGATCCTGACAAATTGGAATATATTTAGAAAGCCTCAGGCCTGGGCCTAGGAGAGGTGCAGGCATTGTCCTCTTAACCAACCTTTAGGTAGGCTCCTCTGAGCCCTCTCTTTGTGACTAGGTCTTGTGGGCTATTCCTTCATCCCTGTCATCAGCCTGTCTAACCCTGTTTTCACAAAAATCCTGCTAGTCAGTTCTACAGAATCCCACACCCTTCATACCTCATCCCTCTTGATATGTGATCCAGGTTCACATTCATCCCCCGCCTTTGAAGTATAAGTCCTTGGGCTGTTTTAACAAGAATCCTGTTAGGCCATTTCAGCAAGAATCCCCCTACTCTTGATACTTCCTCTTAGTAATTTTCAAACCACTGACCTCTTCACTTTGCTTTGGTTATAAATTCCCAGCTGTGTTTGCTGTATTCAGAACTGAGCTCAGTTCTTTTCTTTTTTGAGAGGGAGTCTCACTCTGTCACCCAGGCTGGAGTGCAGTGGAATGATCTCAGATCACGGCAACCTCCCCCTCCTGGGTTCAAGCAACTATGATGCCTCAGCCTCCCAAGTAGCTGGGATTACAGGCGCACACTACCATGCCCAGCTCATTTTTGTATTTTTATTAGAGATGGGGGTTTCACCATGTTGGCCAGGATGGTCTCGAACTCCTGACCTCAGGTGATCCACCCACCTCAGCCTCCTGAAGTGCTGGGATTACAGGCGTGAGCCAAGGTGCCTAGGCTTTTGAGCTCAGTTTTATACTGCAATCTTTTTCCTGGTCCCCAAAGCTACTGCGGGACCACAACCTAGTGGAATGTTAAAAAGAAGGATTGACCCACCTGGATTTTAAGGACCGTTCTAGGCTGAATGTCTCGTTCTTTTTTTTTTTTTTTTTTTTTTTTTTTGAGACAGAGTCTCACTCTGTAGCCCGGGCTGGAATGCAGTCACATGATGTTGGCTCACTGTAACCTCTGCCTCCTGGGTTCAAGTGATTTTTCTGCCTCAGCCTCCTGAGTAGCTGGAACTACAGGTGTCCACCACCATGCTGGTCTAATTTTTTATTGTTAGTAGAGATGGGGTTTCACCATGTTAGACAAGCTGGTCTCAAACTCCTGACCTCAGGTGATCTGCCTGCCTCAGCCTCCTGAAGTGCTGGGATTATAGGCGTGAGTCACCGCACCCAGCCCTGAACATCTCATTCTTTGATCCTGGCCAGAACAACAGGGACTGATTATCTTGGGGGCCCAGGAGTAGGAATGTCTTGGGGAGACGGGAGAAACAGGAGAACAGTTTATGCAGGTTCACTGTGCTCAAAAAGATCCAAGAGGGCCGGGCGCGGTGGCTCAAGCCTGTAATCCGAGCACTTTGGGAGGCTGAGGCGGGTGGATCACGAGGTCAAGAGATCGAGACCATCCTGGTCAACATGGTGAAACCCCGTCTCTACTAAATATACAAAAAATTAGCTGGGCATGGTGGCGCATGTCTGTAATCCCAGCTACTCAGGAGGCTGAGGCAGGAGAATTACCTGAACCCAGGAGGCGGAGGTTGCAGTGAGCCGAGATTGCGCCATTGCACTCCAGCCTGGGTAACAAGAAGTGAAACTCCGTCTTAAAAAAAAACAAAAACAAAAACAAAAAAGATCCAAGAAGTACCAGGAGGTCAGTTCCAGCAGGGAGCTGGGAGCCTGAGCAGGGCATGTCCTCAGGGAGAAAGAGGTTGGCCAAGTTAGGGGCCTCTGGTCCATTTGGGCCTCTAGAGAGAAGAGGTTTAGGCCAGGCCTAGAACAGATGTTTCTGTCTCAGCATCAAGCTGGAGTGAGAGCCACCAGGCCAAAACCCTGGAGTCATTCTTTGTTTTTGTTTGTTTGTTTTGAGACAAGAGTCTCAGTCTGTCACCCAGGCTGGAGTGCAGTGGTGTGATCTCAGCTCACTACAACCCCCACTTCCCAGGCTCAGGTGATTCTCCCACCTCAGCCTCTCCAGTAGCTGGGACTACAGATGCACATGACCACGTCCAGCTAATTTTTGTGGGTTTTTTTTTTTGAGATGGAATTTCGCTCTTGTTGTCCAGGCTGGAGTGCAATGGTGCAATCTCGGCTCACTGTAACCTCCGCCTCCTGGGTTCAAGTGATTCTCTCACCTCAGCCTCCCAAGTAGCTGGGATTACAGTGCCACGTGCCACCATGCCCAGCTAATTTTGTATTTTTAATACAGATGTGGTTTCTCCAGGGGTCAGGCTGGTCTCAAACTCCCAACCTCAGGTGCTCTGCCTACCTTGGCCTCCCAAATGCTGAGATTACAGGCATGAGCCACTGCACCCGGCCTGGAGTCATTCTTGACTTCTCTCTCCCCACACTGACAAAGGGCATGCAAGCCCCCAAATTAGGGCTCAGCCCAGGAGGGTTCATGGCTTCACCAAGGAAGGAATTCAAGAGTGAGCTGGTGGTGTTAGGCCGCACCTTTTATTGAAGAGGTAGGGTACAGCAGCAGCAGAGGGGCACCCCATAGGCAGTGTGCCCAGAGTAGCAGCTCAGAGGCAGTGTTGCACTCATACTTACTTTCAGCTATATGCAAATTAAGGACATATAATGCAGAAATTTCTAGAAAAAGGGTGGTAACTTCCAGGTCATTGAGTTGTTGGCCAGGGAAAGAGGTGGTAACTTTCAGTGGTTGCTGTGGCAATGGCAAACTGACATGGCACCCTGGTGGATGTGTCTTCTGGAGACGTGTCTCTGTCCCATCCCTGTTTCAGCTAGTCTTTAATTTGGTCCAATGTCTGAGCCCTGCTTCCAGAGTCAAGTTCTGCCTCCTACCTCAACAACAAATCCAATGCACCTGGAAATCCCATTGAGTCTACCTTAAACAAATATCCAGAATTCAGAAATACTAAGATCTGAATGAAAGCAATCCAGTGAAGGGTATGAAGCTTGGTGGGGGTTTTGGGGGAGAAACAAGATTGTCCATGTGCTGAATATATATACTTGAAGCTGCAATGGAAATTCATTGGTCTGTCTCCTTTAGTATCCACTTGACAATTTCCAAAAAGACAGAACTCCTTCTAACTCCCCTGAATATGACCACTTCTCACTCCTTCCATGGCCTATCGCCCTGGTTCAAGCCACCATCATCTCGCACCTAGATTATTATTATTATTATTATTTCATTGTTATTTTTGAGATGGGGTCTCACGCTGTTGCCCAGACTGGAGTGCAATGGCACTATCTTCGCTCATTGCAAACTCTGTCTCCCAGGTTCAAGTGATTCTCCTGCCTCAGCCTCCCTAGTAGCTGGGATTATAGGTGCTTACCACCATGCCTGGCTACTTTTTTTTGTATTTTTATTAGAGACAGGGTTTCACTATGTTGGCCAGGCTGGTCTCGAACACCTGACCTTAGGTGATCTGCCCGCCTAGGCCTCCCAAAGTGCTGGGATTATAGGCATGAGCCACCACACCTGGCTACACCTAGATGATTGCACGGCCTTTTTCACTGGTCTCCTGGATTCTACCCTAACCCTCTGTGATGGTTAATTTTGACTGGGCCATGGGTTGCTCAGATGTTTGGTTCAACATCATTCTGGGTGTTTTTGTCAGGCTGTTTTAGACAAGATTGACATTTAAATCAGGAGACTGAGGAAAGCAGGTTGTCCTCTCTAATGTGGGCGGGCCTCATCCCATCAGTTGCAGGCGTGAGTTGAACAGAAAGGCTGACTCAGAGGGAGTTCTTCCTGCCAGATTCCCTTCTGACAGGCGCAAATGTCTTTTCTGCCTTCGGAGTTGAACTGAAACATTATTCTTCATGGGGCTTGAGCCTGACAGCCTTCAGAAGAGAACTACCCTGTTGGCTCTCCAGGTTCTCAGACTTCCTGAATCAGGCTTGAATGAAACCATCAAGTCTCCCCAGTCTCCAGAACTCACCCTGCAGATCTAGGGACTTGCCAGAACTCCATAATCACGTCAGCCAGTCCTTATACTACATCTCTTTACATAGCAGTTGGGTGCACGTAAGAACACAGAGAGAAGGGCAAGTCAGGAAGACAGCCTTCTAGAATTTTCTGGCACCTTGCTCTTGGCTTTCCAGTCTCCGGAACTGTTAAGTTTTGGTTGTTTAAGCCACCCATCCTAAGGTGCCTTGTTATGGCAGCCTGAGCTGAGACGATCACTGTCACTGGTTATCAGTGGCCGCTGGGAACCCATCCAAGCTGGCTCCTGTGTCCTTTGAGTTTTCCTCCTTATCCCTTCAGCTTCCCTTGCTTCTGGCACAAAATAGCCCTGGCTCATCTTGTACTTTCCACGGCCCAGCCCCGGAATCCAGCCCTTAACCAAAGATCCTTGGTTCCTTTTATTTATTTATTTGAGATGGAGTCTTGCTCTGTCACCAGGCTGGAGTGCAGTGGCACGATCTTGGCTCACTGCAACCTCCACTGCCAGGTTCAAGGGATTCTCCTGCCTCAGCCTCCCGAGTAGGTGGAACTACGGGCACGTGCTACCATGCCCAGCTTATTTTTGTATTTTTTTTTAGTAGAGACGGGGTTTCGCCATGTTAGCCCGGATGGTCTTGATCTCTTGACCTTGTGATCCACCTGCCTCAGCCTCCCAAAGTGCTGCAATTATAAGTGTGAGCTACCGCACTTGGTTAATTTTAATTTTTTTTTTTTTTTTTTTTTAGAAACTCGATGTTTATTTTCCATGAATCTTATATGTTGTTTAAGAGCCCACACAAGAACAGCTTAAGACCATTCAGTGGTTGCTCCCACCCATTCAGTGGCCTGAGCAGTGGGAGCTGCAGACCAGTCTTCCGTGGCGGGCTGGGCACTCCAGTCTTCAGTAGGAAACTGCTGGATAGGCACAGAGGGCACCTGCATGCCTTCAGACCAGTCGGCAACCTCAGGCTGAGTAGCAGTGAACTCAGGAGCTGGCGCGGTCCATTCGCCCTGAAATTCCTCCTTCGTCACAGCCTTTCAGCAGCAGCCTGCTCTTCTTTATCAGTCTCTTCAGGATCTCTGTAGAAGTAGAGATCAGGCATGACCTCCCACGGGTGTTCACGGGAGATGGTGCCACGCATGTGCAAAACTTCCTGTGCCAGCATCCACCACATCAAACCCACTGAGTGAGCTCCCTTGTTGTTGCATGGGATGGCAATGTCCACACAGCGCAGAGGAGAATCTGTGTGACGCAGAGCAATGGTAGGTAGGTTAACATGAGACGTCTCCATGAGAGGCTGGTGGTCAGCCCTGGGGTCAGTAACCACGAGCAGCCGTGGCTCCCGGAAGGCTGCCTGGATCTGGTTGGTGAAGGTTCCATGAGTAAAGTGGCAGCAATTGGAGTGGCTCCAGTGGCAGCAGCAAACTCCAGCACGGCCCTCTGGCCAGTATTCCTGGAGGATATGACACTGACGTCAGCAGGGTTTTCAATGGCATGAGCTGCCAGGAGAAGCTTCTCCCGGGCCCTCTCCAGATTTATGATGTAGATGCCATCACTTTTCCTTTTACAGATATACTGCTCCATCTGGAAGTCAAGGTTGGTGCCACCTAAATGGGTTCCTGCTGCCAGGAACTTAAGGACATCCTCCTCTTCATTTGCAGGACATCAAGGGCTCCAGACATCGTGAAAGTTTCCCTTTAAGTAACGATGGGAATCCAGAACAACGCCGTATGGAGCCCTCGGCAGGTAGTGCGGAAAGCTAATTTTAACATTTTAAGATGAAGTTTTGCTCTTTTGCCCAGGCTGGAGTGCAGTGGCGGGGTCCTGGCTCACTGCAACCTCCACCTTCTGGTTTCAAGCGATTCATTTGCCTCAGCCTCCCGAGTAGCTGGGATTACAGGAGCCCGCCACCAAGCCTGGCTGATTTTTTTGTCTTTTTAGTAGAGATGGGATTTCATCATGTGGCCAGGCTGGTCTTGAACTCCTGATTTCAGCCTTCCAAAGTGCTCTGTCACCCAGGCTGAAGTGCAGTAGTGTGATCTCAGCTCACTGCAACCTCCACCTCCCAGGTTCAAGAGATTCTCCTGCTTCTGCCTCCCGAGTAGCGGGGACTACAGGCCTGTGCCATTATGCTGGCTAATTTTTTTTGTTTGTTTTTTTTTTCTAGAGACAGGGTTTTGCCATGTTGTCCAGGCTGGTCTTGAACTCCTGGGCTCAAGTGACCCACCCACTTCGGCCTCCCAACGTGCTGGGATTACAAAACCAGCCACTGGACACAACCAGACTCTACTCTTTATTGTTCCAAAGAACTTATCAGTTTATATAAGCCTGCTAGGACTGTCAGATTGGGCAAGTGGGGCCTCTGGGAGGCAATTAGGTCATTAGGGTGGAGCCCTTATGAATGGGATTAGTGCCCTTATAATAAAAGGGACAGCACCCATCGAGATAGTTCATGCCTGTAAACCCAGCATTTTGGGAGGCCGAGGCAGGTGGATCACCTAAGGTCAGGAGTTCGAGACCAGCCTGGCCAACTTGACAAAACTCCGTCTCTACTAAAAATACAAAAATTAGCCAGGCATGGCGGTGCATGCCTATAGTCCCAGCTACTCAGGAGACTGAGGCAGGAGACTCGGTGGAACCCGGGAGGCAGAGGTTGCAGTGAGCCAAGATCTTGACACTGCACTCCAGCCTGGGTGACAGAGTAAGACCCTGTCTCAAAAAAAAAAAAAGGGTCTGCAAAGAACTTCCTTGTCCCTCCCACCATGCAAGAACACAGGAGGAAGGTTCCATCTGTGGCCAAGAACGTGGCCCTCACCAGACACCCAATCCACAGGGGCCTTGATGTGGGACTTCCCAGCCTCCCCAAACAGTGATACGTCAATTCCTGTCATTTATAAGCCACCAGGTCTGTTTTGTTACAGCAGCCCAAACGGACTAAGGCTTCAACACGGGAATCGGGGGGGACACAATTTGTCTATTACAGCTTCCCACCAGGCTTTCCATGCTGCGTGTTTCCTGTGTATCCTACACCCTCCCAATCCCTGTGTGTCAGCTCCTCACCGCAGGGATCGCATCTCTGGGGCCCTGTGGCATCCCGAGTTCCTAGAGGCACAGCTGGAGGCCCTGGTACATTTGTGCAGAAGAAAAGCTTGTGTCAGAGGAAGCTCCTGTGGAGAGACTCACTCCCTCTCTTCCCACTCCTCAGACCTTGGGCAAGGACAGTCGGAATCCCTGGGACCAGGTACAAACAGTTTATTTTTCTATAAAGAGCAAAGTACAAAGAGGCAGGGAGGGGAGCTGGGCCCAGGGGAGCAGCCGAGGGCAGGCCCCAGGCCCTGGCTATGGTGAGGATGCACTGGCAGCTGCCCCAAGGGAGTAAATGGGCCTCCAGCAGGCAGTGGAGAAAAAGCTGGAGCGTCGAGGAGGAAGCCCATGCCCGCTGCTGGGAGTTACACAAAGCCAGGCTTCATGGATGAGCGGCGGCAGTTGGGGCAGCTCCGGGTCCCGTTGTTCTGCAGGCACCTGAGGAGGCAAAGGGCCCTGTCCACTCTCCTGAGGCCTGTCCTTCCCTCCAGGCCCCAGGCCCTGTCTTCCTTCCTCCCCTGCCCTCTGCAGGGGCTGGGACACATCCTGGTGGCTGTTCAGCAGCAAGGAAAGGGAAGGGATCGGTTCCCCCAGGCTCCCACTGCACCCGGCCTGGCCCTCTGTTCCTCTGCTCCAGGGACTTCCGGGAGCTGAGCATGGGCTGGGAGTTGAGAGGATGGGATGGAGCCAAACCCAGGGCAGGTCTGGCCCTGGGTGTCTGACCTAAGGGCCTTTGAGGGACCTCTCTGATTTCTCTTTGGGGATTATCATAAGAATGGCCACCTTTAGATGGGCTGCTGGGAGGATTCAATGAGTCAATAGACAGGAAGTGCAGGTGGTGTAGGGGTGTGTTTTAATAGAGACAGGGTTTCACCATGTTGGCCATGCTGGTCTCAAACTCCTGGGCTCAAGTGATCCTCCCGTGATCCTCCCACCTCAGCTTCCCAGAGTGCTGGGATTACAGATGAGAGCCACTGCGCCCGGCCAGGAAGTGCTGTTTTATGATAGTCAGAAAAATAAATAAGTTAAATTAAATCAGGCTGGGCACTGTGGTTCACACCTGTAATCCCAGCACTTTGGGAGGCCAAGGTTGGGAGTTTGAGACTAGCCTCACCAACATGGAGAAACCCCGTCTCTATTAAAAATACAAAATTAGCTGGGCGTGGTAATGGGCACCTGTAATCCCAGCTACTCGGGAAACTGCAGGAGAATGGATTGAACCTGGGAGGTGGAGGTTATGGTGAGCCAAGATCGAGCCACTGCACTCCAGCCTGGGTGACAAGAGCGAAACTCTGTCTCAAAAATAAATAAAAATAAATAAATAAGGGCCGGGCGAGGTGGCTCACGCCTGTAATCCCAGCACTTTGGGAGGCCGAGGCGGGTGGATCACGAGGTCAAGAGATCGAGACCATCCCGGTCAACATGGTGAAACCCCGTCTCTACTAAAAATACAAAAAACTAGCTGGGCGTGGTGGCGCGTGCCTGTAATCCCAGCTACTCAGGAGGCTGAGGCAGGAGAATTGCCTGAGCCCAGGAGGCGGAGGTTGCGGTGAGCCGAGATCGCGCCATTGCACTCCAGCCTGGGTAACAAGAGCGAAACTCCGTCTCAAGAAAATAAATAAATAAATAAATAAATAAAATTAAGTAATAAATATACAGGAGAAGGTCTTAGAACACACCTGGGCGCAGAAAGCATAAGGTGAGTGGTATTTTTTTTTTTTTTTTTTTAATGGAGTCTTGCTCTGTCACCAGGCTAGAGTGCCGCAATCTCAGAATCTCAGCTCACTGCAACCTCCACCTCCCAGGTTCAAGCGACTCCCCTGCCTCAGCTGGGACTACAGTCGTGCACCACCACACCCAGCTAATTTTCCTTTTGTATTTCAGTAGAGACAGGGTTTCCCCATATTGGCCCGGATGGTTTTGATCTCCTGACCTCGTGATCCTCCTGCCTAGGCCTCTCAAAGTGCTGGGATTACAGGTGTGAGCCACCACCCCCAGCCTGTTGTTTGTTTTTTGAGACAAGAGTACAGGCTGGAGGGCAGTGGTGCCACCTCGGCTCACTGCAACCTCTGCCTCTCGGGTTCAACTGATTCTCCTGCCTCAGCCTCCCGAGTAGCTGGGATTACAGGCTCCCACCACCGCGCCTGACTAACTTTTGTATTTTTAGTAGAAACAGGGTTTCAGCATGTTGGCCAGGCTGGTCTCAAACTTCTGGGCTCAAGTGATCCGCCCACCTCGGCCTCCCAAAGTGCTGGGATGATAGACGTGAGCCACCGCACCCGGCCAAAGTATTTGGTATTAGTATTATTGCTGTGATTAGGCCAGGTGGGCCCTAGAGTGCCTCAAAGAGACCCGGTCCCCACTGTCCACCCCGCAGGAGGCCCGCACCTGAGGTGGAAGATGTGGGAGCAGGGCAGGGCTTGCAACCGGCTGTTCTTCTCCCCTATGGACTCGCCGCACAGGCCGCAGTAGAGCTCCGTCTCCTCCACGCACTCGTGGAACCGGACCACGTGCGCCCGCAGTTCCCGCTGCAGCCCTTTGCTGCGGTAGATGCTCTCGCTCAGACAGTGCAGCTTGAGTTGGCTCAGCTGGGGCCCGCAGGAGTGGAGAGCGGCGGCGGGGGGAGAGAGCCAAGTCAGTGCAGGCAGACGCCAGCCCCAGCCGCTTCCCTGTCTTGCTGATGGACCTCGGAAAAATGTTCCTGCTCTCTCTGGCCCTCGCTTCCTTTCATGCAGAATGAGGGGGTGAGTGAGATCAGAGGTCTTCACCCCCACAACTGCCTGGGGACCCCATGTTTTTGACAGATTTTATGACCAAACCTGCTGCACTGACTCCATAATAATTTGCTGCGTGGCTCCATGGCTCACACCTAAAATCCCAGCACTTTGGGAGGCCCAGGTGGGCAGACTACCTTAGGTCAGGAGTTTGAGACCAGCCTGGCCAACATGATGAAACCCCATCTCTACTAAAAATACAAAAATTAGTCAGGGGTGGTGATGAGCGCCTGTGGGAGGCTGAGGCAGGAGAATCACATGAACCCAAGAGGTAGAGGTTGCAGTGAGGCGAGATCATGCCATTGCACTCCAGCCTGGGCTACAAAAGTGAAACTCCATAGCAAATAATAATAATAATAATAATAATAATGATTAATTTGCTTTCCTGTTTTAATTAATTAAATATACATACAACAGCTCATTAGCATTTCAGATCAGCCTGATACCCAGGTAAACCAGAGTAGCTATAATGCAACCAAAAGCAAATCTTTTTGGCATTTTAGTTGGACTTTGTACAGGAGCCCATAGAAATGCACATCTGGGCCGGGCATGGTGGCCCATGCCTGTAATCCCAGCACTTTGGGAGGCCAAGGTGGGCAGATCACTTGAGGTCAGGAGTTTGAGACCAGCCTGGCAAACATGGTGAAACCCCATGTTTAAAAAACAAAAAACAAAAACAAAAAACGAAATGCACATCTGGAAGCCTTTGAGAAATGGTGAACCTGTTTTCAAGATTTTAAGGTTTGGAGAAGATTACTGTGATTCATTTTTATTTTATTTATTTTTATTTTTATTTATTTATTTTTTTTTTGAGACGGAGTTTCACTCTTGTTACCCAGGCTGGAGTGCAATGGCACGATCTCGGCTCACCGCAACCTCCGCCTCCTGGGTTCAGGCAATTCTCCTGCCTCAGCCTCCTGAGTAGCTGGGATTATGGGCATGCACCACCACACATGGCTAATTTTTGTATTTTTAGTAGAGATGGGGTTTCACCATGTTGGCCAGCCTGGGCTCAAATTCCTGACCTCAGGCGATCTGCCCACCTTGGCCTCCCAAAGTGCTGGGATTGCAGGTGTAAGCTACTGCACCCAGCCTTGGTTTTGGTTTTTAGCCCATGCTAATCTTCTCTGTATTGTTCCAATTTCAGAATATGGGCTGCTGAAGCGAGCACTAGATACCATTATTAAATTTGGAACATGGGCTTTGTAGTTAAAACAGACAAGTTAGTAGGTATGAGACCTTGGATGCCTCTTTGAGCCTTACTTTTTCTCATCTGTAAAATGGGGCTTGCTGTACCCACCCTGTAAGGACCCTGTGTGTGCTCAGTGCTCAGGGAGTGAAGGCCACTGTTAGGAGTTTTTGTTTGTTTTGAGACAGGGTCTCACTCTGTCATCCAGGCTGGAATGCAGTGGAGCAATCACAGCTCACTGTAGCCTCGACCTCCTGGGCTCAAGCTATCCTCCCACCTCAGCCTCCTGAGCAGTTGGAATGACAGGTGTGTGCCACCACACCCAGCTAAGTTTTAAAACTTTTTGGTAGAGGCCGGGTGTGGTGGCTCACGCTTGTAATCTCAGCACTTTGGGAGGCTGAGGTGACTGGATCACCTGAGATCAGGAGTTCGAGACCAGCCTGGCCAACATGATGAAACCCCATCTCTACTAAAAATACAAAAATTGCTGGGCGCAGTGGTTCAAGCCTGTAATCCCAGAACTTTGGGAGGCCGAGGCGGGTGGCTCATGAGGTCAAGAGATTGAGACCATCCTGGTCAACATGGTGAAACCCTGTCTCTACTAAAAAATACAAAAAATTAGCTGGGCATGGTGGCGTGTGCCTGTAATGCCAGCTACTCAGGAGGCTGAGGCAGGAGAATTGCCTGAACCCAGGAGGCGGAGGTTGCGGTGAGCCGAGATCGCGCCATTGCACTCCAGCCTGGCTAACAAGAGCGAAACTCCGTCTCAAAAAAATAAAAATAAAAAATAAATAAATAAATAAAATACAAAAATTAGCCAGGCCTAGTAGCAGACGCCTGTAATCCCAGCTGCTCAAGAGGCTGAGGCAGGAGAATCACTTGAACCTGGGAGGCAGCGGTTGCAGTGAGCCTGGATTGCACTATTGCACTCCAGCCTGGGCAGCAACAGCAAAACTCCAACAACAAAAATTTTTTTTTTTTTTTAGAGAGTGGTGGGATTATAGGTGTGAGCCACCATGACCTGCCCACTGTTAGGAGTTTTGATCAACGTCGGGAAGCCTCTGAGGAATTCTCTATCCTCCAAGCTATGAAACTCCTGCCCCACCCTCAGAAGTGCTCTCTGCGTGGCAGAGAAAGAGCCAGGGTCTGGGATGGCTGCAGGCAGCTCCCAGGATCAGGAAGAGCTCATGGCATAAGCAGGCTCAGGAAGGCCCTTCCCCAGACCCAAGTCCCCCACTTGGGCCCTTGACCCCAGACCCAGGACGCAGCATCAACTCTGACCTTGTTCCCCACCTCCTCGGCCAGATCCTGGGCTCTCTCGATGGCGTCCAGAGCCTGAAAGGTGAGCACAGGCCAGGGCTGCGGGCAGGGCCCTGTGACAGAGGCCTTCCTCACAGGGAAGCACAGGGGAGGGGGGCGGACCTGGGGAAGCGACATGGCAGCAGGAAGAGCCTGGGGCACAGTCACCATGGCTGTGTGGGCAAGGAACCTCCTGCCTCAGTTTACCCAGCAGTCTGGGTTCCAATTCCAGCTCCAGCCCTTTACTAGCTGTGGGTCCCAGGGCAAGAGATGGGCCTTCTCTGAGCCTGGAAAATGACCAGAAGTGTTCTGGCCTCATGGGATCAGGGTGAGGCTGACGTCAGACAAAGTGGGTAAAAGAGCCAGCTAACCTACTGGCCCCAAGTGAGGAGCGCTGGGAGGGCTGCAGGCTGTGGGAAAGGCCCGACCTCACCTTGTCCGGTGCCTTCCTGGCCACCCAGCACTTGGCCACACCCAGCAGCGCCTGCACCTGCCCCAGGCGGTTTCCAATCTCGGTCATGATGCTCATGGCGGAGTCATACCTGGGAAAGGCCGTCTGCAGAGCCGGGTGGGGGATGGAATCAGGCTGCGGCAGGCCTGCATCACCGCCCCCTGCACCTCCAGCCCCTGCATCCCAGTGACCTGACCTCCAGGTCCCCACGGCTCCTGTGGATGTCAGCGAAGCAGAGTAGGCAGAGCGCCTGCAGCGGCCGGTCCCCGTGCTGCAGCGCGATCTTCATAGACTCCTGCAGTGAAGGCCAGTGGCTCAGGCCTGCTCTTCTGCTGCCACCACTCTGCCCCCCTCAGTGGGCCCCTCTAAAGGCACAGCCCAGGGGACCAACATCCTCAGAGCCTACCGCATCGATCATGATGCTGAGGCCTCACGCACTGAACCACTGAAGTCACAGCACCCAGCGAGGTGGGTGGAAAGTGAGACTCAAAAAGTAACTTGACTGAGGTCAGCCAGTAAGTGGCAATGCTGGGATGTGAACCCAGGTTGTGGGACTCCAGAGACTGGCTCTCTCCCCTCTCTGCTCTTTAAAGTACCCCATATTGGGTGTTGGGGACAGAGTGAAGCACCCTCCCCTGCAGATGGACTGGAAGGGAGTGGGGTTTGGGATGAGGTTCGGGGCAAATGTTTCTTTCAGGGGCTTAGGTGTCGAGAGGCTGGGTCAGGGGCAAGCCCTGGGGAGCCCCCAGGGGTTGATTTGGAAGAAGGAGGCCCTGCTGTCCCAGGCCCCAGCCCCTGGCCCACACTGCCTCACCCCCCACTGCCCCCTTGCCCGCTGCCGCACCTCACAACACTCCATGGCACTGCCCAGGTGGCCCAGCAGGCGATAGGCCACAGCCATGTGGTACTGGCTCATGGCCCGGTACTTCAGGCTCCAGCCTTTGCCATAGTCGTTGACGAGCTCTGCGGCCTTGCAGGGGAAGAACAGGGCTTTCTCATAGTCCTGCAGGGGACGTGGGATGGAAGGAGGCACACTGAGTGGCAGAGGCTGCCCCAAGTCAAGGGCTCCTGGGCCAGGCTTCTCTAACTGCAGGTAGGGGTAGGGGGGCCCTATTGTCTGTTCATTCACTGTGGCATCCAGAACAAGAGTGACCCAGGCCGGCTGGGCGCAGTGGCTCACGCCTGTAATCCCAGCACTTTGGGAGGCAGAGGTGGGTGGATCACAAGGTCAGGAGTTCGAGATCATCCTGGCCAACATGGTGAAACCCCGTCTCTACTAAAGATACAAAAAATTAGCTGGGCATGGTGGCAGACACATGTAGTCCCAGCTACTCGGGAGGCTGAGGCAGAAGAATTGCTCGACCCCGGGAGGCGGAGGTTGCAGTGAGCCGAGATCCCGCCATTACGCTACAGCCTGGGGGACAGGCAATACTCTGTCTGAAAAAAAAAAAAAAAAAAAAAAGAGGGAACCCAGGCAGAGGGAACAGCCGGTGCAAAGGTGTGCGCTCCATGGATGCACGGATTTTCATCTGGTTTGTGACGCATCCCAAGCACCTAGCACAGTTCTTGGCACTTGGTAGATGCACAAGAAGTATTTGTTGGGTGAATGGATGAACAGGCAAGAAAATACAGTTGGCTTCTCTTTTCTCCCAATGCCAAATGGGCTCCTCAGCTTCAGAGACACACAGGGACGGGAGACACCAGATCCCTCCACTAGAGCTTGCCTGCTGGCACCCGGAAGCAGGTGTTCACGGAAGCTCAGTGGCGGATTGGCAGCACAACAGGCTCAAAAGAACATCAGACAGACAGCAAGGCGATGCAACTCTGCTCGTACTTTCTCCTCGAGCTTCCAAATGCCTTTTCTACCTGGCCACAGTCAGCTGATGACCTCACCTCCTCACTCCAGGAGAGAAAGGAAGAAAATCAGGGAGAAGCTCCTTCCCCTCCTGTCTCCACCAGGTCTCCCACCTCCGCACCTCTGCTCCCAGGCTTTCCTTTCCTGTCATTGTGGAGGATGGCTCCTGCTCGCATCAAATGCCAGCCCCCTCCACCCCCCACACTCCCCCACCAAGCAGTCTCTGCATCACCAAGTTCTCTCTTTCTACTGAATCATTCTCATCCACGTGCAAACACGTCTGGCATTTCTTTTTTCTTTTTTTTTTTTTTTTTGAGATGGAGTTTTGCTCTTGTTACCCAGGCTGGAGTGCAATGGCGCGATCTCGGCTCACCGCAACCTCCGCCTCCTGGGTTCAGGCAATTCTCCTGCCTCAGCCTCCTGAGTAGCTGGGATTATAGGCACGCGCCACCATGCCCAGCTAATTTTTTGTATTTTTAGTAGAGACGGGGTTTCAACATGTTGACCAGGTTGGTCTCGATCTCTTGACCTTGTGATCCACCCGCCTCGGCCTCCCAAAGTGCTGGGATTACAGGCTTGAGCCACCGCGCCCGGCCTACGTCTGGCATTTCTAATCTCATTTAAAAAAGAAAAACTGGGCCGGGCATGGTGGCTCACTCCTGGAATCCCAGCACTTTGGGAGGCTGAGATAGGAGGATCACTTGAGCCCAGGGGCTGGAGATCAGCCTGGCAACATAGTGAGACCCTGTCTCTGCAGAGATAAAGTTAGCTGTGCATGGTGGTGCACACCTGTAGTCCCAGCTACTCGAGAGGCTGAGGTGGGTGGATCACTTGAGCACAGCAGTGGAGGACAGTGAGCTGAGCCTGGGTAACAGAGGCAGACCCTGTCTCACAAAAAAAAAAAAAAAAAAAAAAATAGCTGGGCGCGGTGGCTCACGCCTGTAATCCCAGCACTTTGGGAGGCCGAGATAGGTGGATCACGAGGTCGAGAGATCGAGACCATCCTGGTCAACATGGTGAAACCCCATCTCTACTAAAAATACAAAAAATTAGCTGGGCATGGTGGCGTGTGCCTGTAATCCCAGCTATTCAGGAGGCTGAGGCAGGAGAATTGCCTGAACCCAGGAGGCGGAGGTTGCGGTGAGCCGAGATCGCGCCGAGCCGAGATCGCGCCATTGCACTCCAGCCTGGGTAACAAGAGCAAAACTCCATCTCAAAAAAAAAAAAAAAAAAATAAGAAGGAAAGAAAAAAGAAAACTAACCCATCTTCTCTTGACCTCATTTCCCTTCAACTAAAGCTCCATTTCACTGTTCTTTTTCAAGGGAAATCTATTTGATCTTTCACTTAATATTTAACAAGCAGAGAAACTGCATGACCAAAAGAGAACTGTCAATAACCTCAATAAAAACCTTTCCTTTATATGCCTTATTATATACTTTAAAATTTAAAGCCATATAAATGTTTTACAGGTTAAAAAAATTAAATTTAATTTTAAAAATACCTAAAAATAGAAAATGGAGGTGAGGTGCAGTGGTTCATGCCTGTAATCCCAGCACTTGGGGAAGCTGAGTTGGGAGAATTGCTTGAGGCCAGGAGTTCAGTATCAGCCTGGGCAACATTGCAAGACCACTGTCTCTACAAAAAATTTAAAAATTAGCCAGACGTGGAAGAATGTGCCTGCAGTCCTAGTTACTGAGGAGGCGGGGGAGGGAGAATCGATTGAACACAGGAGTTGTAGGTTACAGTGACCTGTAATTGAGCTACTGCACTCCAGACTGGGTGACAGAGCAAGACCCTGTCTCAAAAAAAAAAAAAAAAAAAAAAAAAAAAAAAAAAAAAGTAAGGCCAGGAGTGGTGGCTCATGACTGTAATCCCAGCACTTTGGGAGGCCAAGGCAGGTGGATCAGCTGAGGTCAGGAGTTCGAGATCAGCCTGGCCACCATGGTGAAACCCTGTTTCTACTAAAAATATAAAAATTAGCCGGGTGTGGCGTCAGGCACCTGTAATCCCAGCTATTTGGGAGGCCAAGGCAGGATAATCGTTTGAACCCAGGAGGCAGAGGTTGCAGTGAGCTGAGATGTGTCACTGCACTCCAACATGGGTGACAAGAGCAAAACTCCACCCCTGTCCCCCAACAAAAATACCCAGGGTCGCCTGGTACAGTGGCTTATGCCTATAATCCCAGCACTTTGGGAGGTCGAGGAGGGCAGATCACAAGGTCAAGAGCTTGAGACCATCCTGGCCAACATAATGAAACCCCGTCTCTACTAAAATATAAAATATAAAAATTAGCTGGGTGTGGTGGCACGCGTCTGTAGTCCCAGCTACTCAGGAGCCTGAGGCAGGAGAATTGCTTGAACTCAGGAGGCCGGGAGGTTGCAGTGAGCCGAGATCGAGCCACTGCACTCCAGTCTGGTGCCTGGCGACAGAGCAAGACTCTGTCTCAAAAAAAACACACAAAAAAACAAAAAAAACCCAGGGTCAGAACCTCCAATCACTGACCCTGTCAGTTCCTTCATAGTTGTTCTTCCTCCTCTCACCTCTCTACCTATGTACACACCTGAGACATGCCTGGCAGCCATGCTGGCCTCTGTCCTTCCTGGAACATTCCAGGTGTGCTCCCCCAGGGTCCAGCTTGGCTTTAGGGGTTCCCTCATTTTTGCCTAGAATGTTCTCTCACCAGATTTCTGCATGATGCACCTTCTCATCTTTAAGCTATCAAACATCACCTCCGTGAGGCCCTCCAACCACCATGTTGAAATTATGACGTCCCCACGCCCAGTGCTGCCAGCCCCTTGCCCTGCTTTGCTTTCTCCTAGCCACTTGACTTCCTGACTGTGTTGATCGTCTTTCTTCCCCAACTAGAATGAAACCCTCATGAGGACGGGGACTTGGCTGTTTTTCTCACTGTTGGCTTAAGACTGGACCAACAGTCTTGGGATATAGTAGATGCTCATTAAATACTTGGTAACTGAATCCATACAACCCCACTGTAAGGTGAGTCCTGTTCTCCTTCATTTTACAGCTATCTTTTGCAAGGTTCAGAGAGGAGAGGTGGCTTGCCCAAGACCACAGAGCATGCAGGGGAGGCTGCTGGCCTGTCCTGACACAGGAGCCTCCCATGATTCCTCCAGGAAGTCAGACAGATTAAGGTTTGAATCCTGGCTCTGCCCTTGCTAGTTTCCTGGCCAAGCTGTTACCTTCCTGGATAAGACTTGCCCCTCTGATTCTCACTGGCCTCATCCCTCCCTAAAAGGAAGGGTGAATGAGGTAGTGCCACAGGGTGTGTGCCTCATGAGAGGGGACCCCCAAAGCCCTCGACTGCTGTCCCCCCGGGCACAGGCCCACCTTGACCTGGGCGTAGAAGCTTCCCAGGCTGCAGCACACACGGCATTCCAGCATGGCGTCATCGTTGTTGTGGGCATAGCGCAGGGCCTTCTCGAAGCTCTCCAGGGCCTTCTGGAAGACGCTGAGGCCCAGGAAGGCATTGCCCATGCTCAGGCTGACCTGGCCTCCGAGCTGGGCACCCGCCCTGGTGCCAGGCAGTCCAAGGCAGGTCTTGCAGTAGGAGATAGTCTTGTGAAACTCGCACAGCTTCTCGTTGCTGCGCGCCAGGTTCAGGTAGCTCTCCAGGAGGAAGTCAGCATCCTCCAGCTCCCGGGCCGTGTCGATCTGGACCACAGCGAACTGTGCACCACGCGGTGGGCAGGTGGCGATCAGCCTGGACTCTGAGCCTTGGACCGCAGCCTGCGCTGCAGGCTCAGTTTGGAGGCTCTGCACCCGCACCCCCCAGCCTCACACCCAACGCAGCATCACCCAAAGCTTCAGACCCAGAGCTTCCACCCGCCAGCCTCAGCTATCTTCCCTACATCCCGGCCTCACCTCCCAAGCTCAGGCTCGTAGCCTTCACCTTCTACCCCAAGCCTCAGATCTGGAGTCTCCACCACCCACCTACCCCCAGCCTCAAACGTGCAGTCCATACCCCGACCAGGCTCAGATACAGAACACAAGACAGGAAGGCTGAAATCTACACTGGGCTTGAGACCCACGAACCCTGGACCCTGAGGCCAGAAAACCTTAGTCTCAGAGTCTTGGGCTGCAGTTCAAGGCCACAGGCCTGAATCTGATGCCGGGACTCAGTATCTAAGACACAGGGCCTTAGATGTAGGTAGATTCAGAGCCTTGGGCCCCAGCGGCCAGCATGTGGGACACACAGGAGCCTGAGAAGGCCAAGAGGGGACTGGGGAGCCCAGGAGGAATGGAGCCCCAGCCTGACCCTCGCACATCTCTGGACCAGGTACACCCACCTTCAGCATCTCCTTGTAGCGGCCCATCTCTGAGTGGGCCGTGACCAGGCAGCCCAGCACGCGGAAGCGCCCCACGAGATCCGAGCTCTTTTCCAGAACCTTCATCCACACCTCCAGTGCCTTCTCTGTCTGGTTGGACTGGTACAGCTGGAGCCCCTTCTCAATCTGCTGCTTGGTCTGGTCTTGCCCCATCCTCCCCAAGCCCTGTGCCCCAAGCGGGGTGACCCCTGGTGGCTCTGTGCCTCTAGGCACTCATGGCGCAGGACTCAGAGTGCCGGCTGCCCCCTGAACCCAGGAACAAAAGCAGTATTGGGTGGGAGCCGGAGCGGGGCCTGGATGGAGAGCAGGCGCCACCCTGGGAACAAAGCTGGTTCAGCCCCTGTCTGCAGCTGTCCCTGCCAGTTGGGGCCACGTGGCCTCTGAGGAATGTCAGCAGCAAGGTCACACAGGCCTCTGCTGCACCCACCCACGAGCTGGGAGGTGGCTTCCCTGAGCATAGAGGCATCTTGCCACCTAGGCACCCTGTTGTGTGTCCCTTCCGAACCTCGGACACTGGCCCTGACCGCCCTGGCAGCACGGGCCCTCCCAGCAGCCTCGCCAAGGGGCCAGCTCCAGCAATGGACAGGCCTGGGGCCAGAGGTGCTCGGGAGAAGCAGGGCGAGGGTGGACCTGCAGGTCTGGAGAAGCCGGGTGAGTGCCCAGCCCCGCTGGATCTCATCACTGGACTGTGATGAGAACTCAATGACTAATGCGTTGACAAGGACTTAGGACAGCCCGTATGTGCTGCCCCAGGCTATCTTGCTCTGTGTTGGATGCCCACCAGGGCCAGAGCCCAGCCCTTGAAGTTTCAGTTACGGGTCTCAATTCCAATCCCAACTGCAGTTTGAAAGGGTCCCCATAATGAGCTTTAACATCAGGTAGTGCGGAGAAGGGCAACGTCTTACGTCGTATGGCTCCCCCAACCCTCACCCTCGCCAAGCAGGCCAGCTCATCCCGACTGGCTTCTCTCTCTGCATTCCAGCCTTCTTCCTGCCTCAGGGCAGAGTTCATCCTTTCTGGCTGGGCAATTCAGTGGTTTTTTAGTATATTCACAAAGATGTGCATTAATTCCAGAACATTTGAATCACCCAAAAAGGAGACGCATACCCATCGGCAGTTACACCACTCCACTCCCCATGTTGGTATGGCTTAATCACGTCCCCCCAACCAAACGCATATGTTTAAGTCCTAACTCTCAGTATCTCAAAATGTGATTGTATTGGAGAAAGGTCTTTAAAGGGGTAATTGAGGTAAAATGAAGACATATGGTACCTCATCCAGTAAGACTGGTTTCACTCCACCTTTTTTTGAGACAGGGTCTCAATCTGTCACCCAGGCTGGTGGGTACAGTGGTATGTGCAGTGGTGCAGTCTAAGAGAACGGCAACCTCCACCTCCTAGGCTCAAGCGATCCTCCCACCTCCGTCTCCTGCGTAGCTGAGACCACAGGTGTGCATCACCGCATCTGGCTAATTTTTTGTAGAGATGGGTTTTACCATGTTGCCCAGGCTGGTCTTGAACTCCTGGAGGTGGAGGTTGTAGTGAGTCGTGACTGAGCCACTGTACTCCAGCCTGAGCAACAGAGAAAGACCCTGTCTCAAAAACAAAAACAAATGATAAATTTTTATTTTTAAAAATTATTTTGGCCAGGTGCGGTGGCTCAAGCCTGTAATCCCAGCACCTTGGGAGGCCGAGGCGGGTGGATCATGAGGTCAAGAGATCAAAACCATCCTGGTCAACATGGTGAAACCCTGTCTCTACTAAAAATACAAAAAATTAGCTGGACATGGCGATGCGTGCCTGTAATCCCAGCTACTCAGGAGGCTGAGGCAGGAGAATTGCTTGAACCCAGGAGGCGGAGGTTGTGGTGAGCCGAGATCACGCCATTGCACTCCAGCCTGGGTAACAAGAGTGAAACTCTGTCTCAAAAAAAAAAAAAAAAAAAGTTATATTATTTTTGAGATGGAGTTTTGCTCTTGTTGCCCAGGCTGGAGTGCATGGCACAATCTCAGCTCACTGCGACCTCCACCTCCCGGGTTCAAGCAATCCTCCTGCCTCAGTCTCTCAAGTAGCTGGGATCACAGGCATCCAGCACGCCTGGCTAATTTTTTGTATTTAGTAGAGACAGGGTTTCACCATGTTCGTCAGGCTGGTCTCGAACTCCTGACTTCAGGTGATCCACCTGCCGTGGCCTCCCAAAGTGCTTGGATTACAGGTGTGAGCCACCATGCCTGGCCATGATAATTTTTTTTTTTTTTTGAGACGGAGTTTCATTCTTGTTACCCAGGCTGGAGTGCAATGGCGCGATCTCAGCTCACCGCAACCTCCGCCTCCTGGGTTCAGGCAATTCTCCTGCCTCAGCCTCCTGAGTAGCTGGGATTATAGGCACGAGCCACCATGCCCAGCTAATTTTTTTTTGTATTTTTAGTAGAGACGGGGTTTCACCATGTTGACCAGGATGGTCTCAATCTCTCGACCTTGTGATCCACCCGCCTCGGCCTCCCAAAGTGCTGGGATTACAGGCTTGAGCCACGGCGCCCGGCCAATAATTTTTTTTTTTTTTCTTCTTTTTTGAGACGGAGTTTTGCTCTTGTAACCCAGGCTGGAGTGCAATGGCGCGATCTCGGCTCACCACAACCTCCGCCTCCTGGGCTCAGGCAATTCTCGCCTCAGTCTCCTGAGTAGCTGGGATTACAGGCACGCGCCACCATGCCCAGCTAATTTTTTGTATTTTCAGTAGAGACGGGGTTTCACCATGCTGACCAGAATGGTCTCGATCTCTTGACCTCATGATCCACCCGCCTCGGCCTCCCAAAGTGCTGGGATTACAGGCTTGAGCCACCGCGCCCGGCCCTACATTACTTTTTGTGGTTGGTTAATACTTGTTGTCTAGATGTATTTTGTTGGTTCATCAGTTGATGGGCATTTGGGTTGTTTCATTTTTGGCTATTAAGAATTAATGATGCTATAAAAATTCATGTACAAGTTGGGCCAGGCACAGTGACTCACACTTGTAATCCCACACACTGGGAGGCTGAAGCAGGCAGATCGCTTGAGCCCAGGAGTTGCAGACAAGCCTAGGAAACATAGTGAGACTAGTGAGACCCTGTCTCTACAAAAAATTTTTTAAAAAATTAGCTGGGTGTGTTGGTATGCAGTTGTGGTCATAGCTACTCAGGAGGCTGAGGCAGGAGAATCACTTGAGCCTGGGAGGTCTAACTGCAGTGAGCCACCATCACGACACTATACTCCAGCCTGAGTGACAGCGTGAGACCTTGCCACAAAAAAATAAAAAATTCACGTATAAGGATTTTTTTTTTTTTTTTTTTTTTTTTTTTTTTTTTTTTGAGATGGACTCTCACTCCGTTGCCCAGGCTTGAGTGTGATCTCAGCTCACTGCAACTTTTGCCTCCCGGATTCAAGTGATTTATTTGCCTCAGCCCCCCGAGTAGCTGGCATTTCAGCCTACCGAATAACTGGGATTATAGGTGCCCCTCACTATGCCTGGCTAATTTTTGTACTTTTAGTAGAGATAGGGTTTCACCATGTTGGTCAGGCTGGTCTTGAACTCCTGACCTCAGGTGATCCTCCTGCCTTGGCCTCCCAAAGTGCTGGGTTTACAAGCATGAGCCACCTCGCTCAGCCTCACATACAGAGTTTTTCTTGTTATTGTTTGTTTTATTCTGTTTTTTGAGACGGAGTCTCACTTTGTCACCAGGCTGGAGTGCAGTGACCTGATCTCAGCTCACTGCAACCTCTGCCTCGTGAGTTCAAGCGATTCTTCTGCCTCAGCCTCCTGAGTAGCTGGGACTACAGGCTCGCGACACCACACCCTGCTACTTTTTGTATTTTTAGTAGAGACGGGGTTTCACCATGTTGGCCAGGATGTTCTCAATCTCTTGACCTTGTGATGCACCGGCCTCAGCCTCCCAAAGTGCTGGGGTTACAGGCATGAACCACCACGCCCAGCCACGTACAAAGTTTTATGGGGACATGTTTTCATTTCTCTTAGGTAGTGCTGGGTAAAATATGGTAACTGTTACATTCTGGTAACTGTTAGGTTCAACTTTTTGAGGAACTGCTTACCTGTTTGCCCCAGGGCCTTTGCACCTCCTAATTTCTTCTCTGCTTCTCACATCCACACTCTGCCTCATAAATCATAATTAGGATGAATCAATATCCTCTCATTGAATTACACTGCTTTCTGATGCAATACTCATCTCTATAGTTTTACTTTGAGACAGGGTCTCATTTTTGTCACTGTTGGAGTGCAGTGGCACAGTCTAGGCTCACTGAGGCCTCGACCTGCTGGACTCAAGCCACCCTTCCGCCTCAGCCCCCGCAAGCTGCTGGCATTACAGGTGCATGCCACCACGCCCAGCTAATTTTTATATTTTTAGTAGAGATGGGGTTTCACCATGTTGACCGCTGTTCTCAAACTCCTGTGCTCAAGTGATCCACTGGCCTCGGCCTCCCAAAGTACTGGGTTTACAGGCGTGAGCCACTGCACCTCGACTCTATAATTTTATATTTGTGAGGTTGTTTGCTGAATGTCTTTACTCCTCACTCAAATGAGATCATATGGCTGGGTCCTAATGCAGGGCAGGACTTTGTCTCCTTCACCACTGACTATATTCCCAGAGCAAGGGCCAGTACACTGTAGCCCCTCAATAAATATGTCAAATATTGGTGAATGGGGAAGAAGGTGAGGAAAGACAGCCTCATTGGGCAATTCAGGGCAACTGCTGCAGGTTCAGGGATCTGCCCCAGCCTGCACCTTCCTGGGGAAACAGCACAGGCAGACATGACCTGCTTCCTGAGAGCCCAACGGGTCAGAAGGCAAATACCCTGCTGAGGGCCCTAGGCCCCAGGCTCAGCAGAGGCAGAGCAGATGTGGGCAGGCCCCGGGACAGGTGGCTAGGCAAGGCCACTTGGACTCCCCACAGGAGTGCTCCTAGGCCTGGGAAAGGGAGGGAGAGCTGGTTGGGGTCTTCTCTCCTCTCAGGGAGACCTGGGTTGATGCTGAGCTGCAATGTGAGGGAAGCTGGGCCCACAGAGAAGGTGTGAAGGGCCAGCAGGTTCTCCCCACTCCAGGGCCCAGACACTGTTCACATCAAGTCTCTGGCAGAAGGAATGGAGGAAGGGCAGCCTGCGCCTACACGCCAGCGGAGTCGGGGAGCAGTCTTCCTCTTTCCTGGGGAACTCAAATGACCTCAAAACTTGCAAACTTGATGGGATCAAGGTGTCCTTTCCCTGAGGCAGCTCTTTGCTCATCTGACTTTAGTGATGGGAATATGCCATATTTGCTTGTTCTAGGTAGCAGAGTACCTATGTTTCCTTTGAAAATTTCCTTTTTCTTTTTTCTTTTT